CACACCGAAGGAGTTGGATGGGGAGGATTCGCAGAAAAACGTTTTGATTTCTTGTTTGTCTCGAATCGCATTCAATGTGACGACTACTGGGTAACTGATAAGGGGTTTCTTTATAAGGATGTAGAACAGTGGGAGGACGACGGACGAGGCATTTCACTGGAGGGAACACCAATGCTGCAGTCAAGTGAATGGGAAGGTTCGATAGCTGCTTCTCTTGAGTTTGGTTGTATTCGGTTAGCTTCAAGTTTGAGCCACCCACGCCGGTCGGTGCGTTGGCTATTCATCTTGGCTGCTTTTCGCCGAAAAATCCTCTGGACCACACCGAAGGAGTTGGATGGGGAGGATTCGCAGAAAAACGTTTTGATTTCTTGTTTGTCTCGAATCGCATTCAATGTGACGACTACTGGGTAACTGATAAGGGGTTTCTTTATAAGGATGTAGAACAGTGGGAGGACGACGGACGAGGCATTTCACTGGAGGGAACACCAATGCTGCAGTCAAGTGAATGGGAAGGTTCGATAGCTGCTTCTCTTGAGTTTGGTTGTATTCGGTTAGCTTCAAGTTTGAGCCACCCACGCCGGTCGGTGCGTTGGCTATTCATCTTGGCTGCTTTTCGCCGAAAAATCCTCTGGACCACACCGAAGGAGTTGGATGGGGAGGATTCGCAGAAAAACGTTTTGATTTCTTGTTTGTCTCGAATCGCATTCAATGTGACGACTACTGGGTAACTGATAAGGGGTTTCTTTATAAGGATGTAGAACAGTGGGAGGACGACGGACGAGGCATTTCACTGGAGGGAACACCAATGCTGCAGTCAAGTGAATGGGAAGGTTCGATAGCTGCTTCTCTTGAGTTTGGTTGTATTCGGTTAGCTTCAAGTTTGAGCCACCCACGCCGGTCGGTGCGTTGGCTATTCATCTTGGCTGCTTTTCGCCGAAAAATCCTCTGGACCACACCGAAGGAGTTGGATGGGGAGGATTCGCAGAAAAACGTTTTGATTTCTTGTTTGTCTCGAATCGCATTCAATGTGACGACTACTGGGTAACTGATAAGGGGTTTCTTTATAAGGATGTAGAACAGTGGGAGGACGACGGACGAGGCATTTCACTGGAGGGAACACCAATGCTGCAGTCAAGTGAATGGGAAGGTTCGATAGCTGCTTCTCTTGAGTTTGGTTGTATTCGGTTAGCTTCAAGTTTGAGCCACCCACGCCGGTCGGTGCGTTGGCTATTCATCTTGGCTGCTTTTCGCCGAAAAATCCTTTGGACCACACCGAAGGAGTTGGATGGGGAGGATTCGCAGAAAAACGTTTTGATTTCTTGTTTGTCTCGAATCGCATTCAATGTGACGACTACTGGGTAACTGATAAGGGGTTTCTTTATAAGGATGTAGAACAGTGGGAGGACGACGGACGAGGCATTTCACTGGAGGGAACACCAATGCTGCAGTCAAGTGAATGGGAAGGTTCGATAGCTGCTTCTCTTGAGTTTGGTTGTATTCGGTTAGCTTCAAGTTTGAGCCACCCACGCCGGTCGGTGCGTTGGCTATTCATCTTGGCTGCTTTTCGCCGAAAAATCCTCTGGACCACACCGAAGGAGTTGGATGGGGAGGATTCGCAGAAAAACGTTTTGATTTCTTGTTTGTCTCGAATCGCATTCAATGTGACGACTACTGGGTAACTGATAAGGGGTTTCTTTATAAGGATGTAGAACAGTGGGAGGACGACGGACGAGGCATTTCACTGGAGGGAACACCAATGCTGCAGTCAAGTGAATGGGAAGGTTCGATAGCTGCTTCTCTTGAGTTTGGTTGTATTCGGTTAGCTTCAAGTTTGAGCCACCCACGCCGGTCGGTGCGTTGGCTATTCATCTTGGCTGCTTTTCGCCGAAAAATCCTCTGGACCACACCGAAGGAGTTGGATGGGGAGGATTCGCAGAAAAACGTTTTGATTTCTTGTTTGTCTCGAATCGCATTCAATGTGACGACTACTGGGTAACTGATAAGGGGTTTCTTTATAAGGATGTAGAACAGTGGGAGGACGACGGACGAGGCATTTCACTGGAGGGAACACCAATGCTGCAGTCAAGTGAATGGGAAGGTTCGATAGCTGCTTCTCTTGAGTTTGGTTGTATTCGGTTAGCTTCAAGTTTGAGCCACCCACGCCGGTCGGTGCGTTGGCTATTCATCTTGGCTGCTTTTCGCCGAAAAATCCTTTGGACCACACTGAAGGAGTTGGGCTGATTTCGCAATTACTTGATTCAGGAAAACCTGCTCGCTGCAAATGATGAATGAGGGAAATTATCTGTTTTCAAAAGGTGGGGGACGAGTTTCGCGACGTTAGAAACTGTCATGGTATTATGATCTATCGCGCCTCCAATATCTATATTATACACCCGTCGAATTAAGCCAGCAGCAATGTACGTCTACATTACTCAGGCTGACCGGCCACAAAAATACTCATTTTTTCCGTTCAGGATTCGAAGTCAAGTTCAATGCAGAGAGGTTCTGCGTGAATCTCCAATGAAAACTCTCTTCAGTTTTCCCGCATTCGTCTCCGTACTACCGGCTAGAACCATTTGGCTAAGTTTAACTTAGAATCTCTCTGTCTGTCAAATATACTTTTATTCAGCAGTTCACCTAATAGCTAGTTAACTAAGCTCATATTTCAAACCAAAGAATATACTAATATCGCTTTGGTGGGACCATAGTACGTAATATAATACATAACCCGCTCGTCAAAATGACTTTTCGAATGCTACTAAAACCGAGATTGAAATACGAGTATCAGCTGCTTAGTGGGGTGCCGGCGGGTTAACATGGTCCTTGGCTCAAGAAGCGCTTGCTTAATTTTCGTAATTTTCCTTCAGCCTAAGTTGTTGACCGAGCAGACGACTGAAGCTGTTTCTTAAACGCTGATACGCACAAAAGCTCGATTTCGCGGACAGATAAGTCGTATGGTCGAGGCATGCGAGTTGGCTGAAAGTTACTGTCGGGGAAAGAATTCTGCAGTGATTGGCAGCTTTGCTTACATGATCAAAACTGATTAATATATTACCGTCTCTCCAGAGCCCGTAGTTTCGGTTTCGAACGAAATCTCCGAAACGAAAGTTTGACACGAAAAGAACAAAAAACACACTTGGAAAACAAAACTATGCTCTGCAAGTTTATGTGCACCGGCTACACTTAACCGTCTCAGTTCAAATACCTATAAAATTGGGCATTAAACTTAAGAAAATCGGTTAACTTCAACGCGCCACCTGTCCAGGCGGCCCGGCCGAGCCGACGCGACCTGGACTCAGCCGCCATGTTTGTTTGGTGGTGGCGCCCCCTATAGGTCGCTGGAGTCGCGAATAGCTACCTACGGTAGCAGAGTTGCGCATTCAGCCTCGGCGAGTGGCCGTAGCGCCGGCTTCCCCGCACGCCCTGGATGCTTTGCTCCTCACGTGACTAAATTTGGCGAATAGCGGCGCCGCGCGCGCCGCCGCACGAGGAAAACAGGAAAGGAGGAAAAGGAGGCGGAAAGCAGGGGAACATACGCCGGGGCGCGAGAAACGTCCGCGGAGCGACCGTAAAGGTGGCTTTCTTGCACGCCACCGGATGCTTTGCTCCTCACGCGATGGATCTCGGCGAATAGCAACGTGGCGGCGCGGGGAAAACAAATGCGCAACTCTGGCTCCCGTAGGGAGCCTATAGAGGAACTCTAGCAGAAAAGGCCCATTCAGCATACGGAGCAATCGTGCTATGCAACCCTCATCTCATCTTGAAACCCCAGCGCTCCGGCCAAATCCGTCGCCCCCTCCGAGAAGGGGAGTTTCCCGGACGGTGCGACGGATTTGGCCGGAGCGCTGGGGTTTCAAGATGAGATTGAAGGGATGGATGAAAAGTGTGGTGCAGTAGCAAAAAGGAAATTAGAAGACTGGTGGAAATTACCTAGGGAGAATTGGAGGACGTATAACTAGCACAGCCAGACACAGAACAATTGGGACTCCGTCCCGTGCGTGGCTGCGGCCCAGTCTTAACCCTGTCTCTCAGTGGACAGGGTAGTGATTATTAGCATTCATCCCATCAGATATTGTAATTTCTACACTACATCTTGTTCTCGATAGGTTACAAGTCTGATGGTGTGGAAATGAATGCTAGAAAGTTTACACCAGCAGAACACATATAAATGAGCGACTTACCACTGTTAATGCAATAGCATTCTTTAGCTGCCCCCCCCCCCCCCCCAACTTTCTGGACTCCTAATGCACAGTAGACCGTTTCAGCTCACATTCTCACACTCCTTCCCATCTCCACCACCTTCAAAGGACCTGACGACCTTGACGTAGTCCTAAAATCGTCTTTGACGTCGTCCTCTAGGATGTCCTTAAAATTGCCCTAGAGGTCGTCCTTGAGATCGCCCTAGACATAGTCTCTGATGACGTCCTCTAGGACGTCATCCTTGAGCTTGTCCTAGACGAATGGTATTGCAATTCATTGACATACCAACAATAGTGATTTCTGCAGTTAATTTCCAATTTTTAGCCTCCCTGCTTGATTCAATCAAATGATTGCTGCTCACTAATACATCATTCGCTCATGTAATATGAACCTAAAAAAAAACAGTATGTTTTGTTTACTTCTTATCTCGAGCTGACTTGGGAATGGGGTGGGACACTGCGAGTCTCGTAGAGTACTGCCGAATCGTGGGAAATTTCTCACTAACGTAACTCCAGGGGACAACGGGGAACTAAACTTGAACGTACGTTAAATAGGAGATATATATTTGGTTTTAAAAATGCATATTTTACATGCGTTCAAATCAAGTTTATTTTTACCCCTTGGCGTCGGGCTTACCACAGAAGGTTGAAAATTTCCCACGATTCGGCAACACTACTCTTGTCCTACAGTTCCTTGCGACGATTTCATACCTCGAAAATTTATAATAGCAATGTTCACCAAACATCGACCAAATTTTTTATGCAAAAACTATGCATCACACAGAAAAACTAGGCACTGGGTCGGTCACTGCCAAGGAGCTTTATTTATCGGGGAACATGGCATATGGGATAATTAGGCTTTTAACTAAATTTATATACTAAATGTTCTACTAATTAGTGAAAATAGCACAATTCAAATAGAAACTTGATGGGCACCATTCAAAACCACTAAACGAATCAATTTCAGAGATCTGGAGCACATGGGTAATTTTTTTTAGGCCCAAAATGTAGCCAACTTTAACGAGCCTAGACTTTTTTTCAGCTCCCTGTCATCCACGTTTTTGCTTTACCAGTCTTGCATCTGCATCTTAAGTGGTTCCCAGCGGATTCTGGCGAGATTTTGAGCTGGAACTTCAGCATTGAATTTCAAAGCACTTGCCTGCCAAATTGAAAAGTTCAAACTTCCCACCTTACTTAGGGTTTGACAACGGCTTGAAGTGGGGAGTAATCCATGAGCGTTCACCGATCATAGATTGAACCCTGTTGGCTAAACAGTTTTCATTCCTTACACGCCATGAATGTTAAATAAGATATCATCCTGGATATAGACAACCGTTTCTGCAGCTTTCCTCATTTGGCAAGTGGCACCCCACCAGTTTTACATCTGCTGCTCGGTGTGTAGATTGCCACGATAACGGGACATCTGTTTACAATAAAATCCTGAGCAAGTGCGCACTCAAAGTTTGAAGATAATCATGTAGATCGTGGAATAGGCAGACGCTCAATATTTTACGGAAGGATCAACATCAGACCATTTTGTACTGCCACGCTCGACCGACACCGATCCGTTCGTGTCATGCTGGTGTCGCACGAAGAACCACACAGACAACTAGGTTTTGGAGTGATTTTAAAGTCTTTAGTGCAGTATTCTACATAGGGGTCAATTAATGCAAAAGATTGAAGGCACCAGCTCAATTGCATCATTGCTCTCATGTTTCACTAGTTCGCAGCTTCATACACATGATCTCTGGTTGGCTAGGACGACATACGGGACTAAAAACCAAGCACACACACACAACGCCTTTCAGGCCACGCTTTGCGAGTCGCACGTTGTCTGACGTTGAACGCGGCCCCAAATCCATCGAACACGCAGACGCACCCGACCTGGTCCGATCCGAAGTGCACCGAGGTTCCGTCCGCACGCGCAATGTGGGCGCGAACCCGGGTATGATTCCCCACGAAAGGACGTGCGGTCCTGCGGACGCTTCGCCCCGATGTCGCAAAAACGTTTGTGCGGGACGTTTCGCAGACGTTGCGCGACGACGTCCCACAGATGTCTGCGCAGGATCTCCCGCGGACGTGTGCACCGGAGGTCCTGCGGAACGTCGGACACACGTCTGTGGCAAAGAGCCTTTCCTTCGCGGGGATGTGACTGTGGCAGTTTCCGGACGCGGTCGGGTGCGTTTCTGTCGGTGGCACACTCCCTCCTCTCTTCCATGCTTCGCGAACACACTTCCAGCAGAAAGTCAACGACGCTGCATTTCGCTCAAAAGTTGCGACGGACAGGAAAGAAAGCCAAGGTATCACCAGTTGCCCCAAAACACTCACATCAAGCAGGTGCAAGTCGACAGGTAACAAAAAACGTGCGTCGGAATGCGTGGCAGAGAAGATGGCAACGGGTATATTGCTTCCGACCCAACGCACCTCACACCCTGTCACACACAGAGCTAAATCAGACACCCAACGAGCCTTTAGGCTAATAGAAAAACAACGGGTATTTAGTGCAATCCGTCGATTTACAAACACCCCGAGATTTAAAAAAAATTCACAATCCATTCAAAATTCCTTTATTATTATTATTATTATCATTATTATATATATATATATGTGTGTGTTCGATCTACCGTTACATTAAAAAATGTCGTCGTCTGTGCGGTGGCGTCTGGCAGAAGCGATGTCGAGGCTCGCTGTTGCAGCGGCGTATCGTCAGATTCACTCAGACCAAAGTTACCACCAAAAATAAAAACACCAGATGAGTCAAACGCCGGAAGAAGGACTGCGATGCAACGCTTAAAAAAGGTGCGGTTGCAAAGCGAACAAATAAACTGAAAAACAAAAAAACAAAAGTGACACAGAAAGAAGCCCACAACACCACCATGGGCTACGATAATACAGCATTGTACAACGTCAAGCTTCCAAAGCAAGAACGAAAGGAGAAAAAAATTATATGGAGGATTCCAAAGAAAACGGTAAACCCTACGGACGCACGACAAAGCGCAAGGCTCCAACTCCCCAAAGAAAAACCGGAACCGTCGGTGCATCTGCACCCGGTGCCAAATGCGTCGACAGCCGAGGACATAAAGCCGAAAGAAATGGTAAGAACCACAAAACGACGAAGAGAAAGTAAGGTTTTAAAACAACAAAACAAGTTGCTCACCAAAGCAAACCCCCCAAACATGGCCTCTCTGGGCCCTGCTCATCACAGCCCGGCCACCCCACACCCTCGGGGCACCGGTACATTCTGCAGACAGCACTAGGGCAACGCAAGTGTCCTCGGCAAGCAACACTAGGGCAGCACCAGGATGCTTTAAAGGCAGCACTAGGGCAACATTAGTGCACTCTGAGGAGACCACTAGGGCACCACCAGTGCACTCTGGGGGAGCACTAGGACAACACCAGTACACTCTACAGGTGGCACCAGGGCAACACCGGTGCACTTTGCAGACAGCGCTAGGGCAACGCCGGTGCGCTCCGAGGGCAGCAGTGGTGGCTCCGTACCGAGAGCGAGCCTCGGTGCTTGGCGTGCTGTGCCGACGTCGAGAGGACGAACCGTACAATGGCAACTTCGAAGCCACCCAGAAGTCGGCACGGCAGCCGCTTAAAAATTCGACCTTAAACCCCGAGCCCACCGTCCATTTCATCGTCCCGGCCCCACCCAAACCGCAGCGGTGAGTCGTCGCCCACACGCTGAGGTCTCGTGTCTACCGAGAACTTTGCATCCATGGGTGGCCCGAGCAAACCGTAACCCTAACCTCGGGGTCACAGGTCGGCTTGTGAGGTGGCCTCGTGCTCAGAAACAAAATCGAGCTAAACATCACGCACCACGACCTAAAAAAAAGGGGGGAAAAAAGACGAAAAAAAAAAAAGGGGGGGGGGATTTAGATTTGTCAGTTTCGGGGACGCACGCTCTCTCTGTCGTCTCGTTGTGCGGGTGGAGAGACGGGAGACTCCCCGAGCAAAATGTGACGCACATTGTCTGACGGCGGGGGCCGCCGGGTCACAAGACGTCGGGGACGGCTCCGACGAACGTCACCGGAACGGCGGGAACGCAGCGGCGAACGGACGTTCCCCTTGGCAGAGCGCACAAAACGGCGGCGGGATGGCGGGCAGCGGCGTCACTGTCGCACTCCGGGCGCGCTGCGGTTACGGTTCCGGTGGGGCGCCCCACTTGGCTGGCACTCCGACCCGTGGCGGGGCCTCTGGTGGCGCTCCGCTTCCTGGCGCTCTTGTTCGGCCAGGTCAGCCACCTGCGGGGACGCACGGCAAGCTATGGTGCCTGGAACGTGTCGACCAGCGTGTCTAGTACGCTGCGCCACCCGCACATCGGGCGTGGTCCGGAAGTGGTGACAAATTACGTAGGAGGAGCCGGTGTGTCGGCAACCGAAACGACAGGCATGCCGGCATGATCCCGACTCATTCTTGCTTTGACAAGAAATACTTGCACTGCCCGTCCCTCTGCATACGGCAACTGCCACGGAGACTCTGGCGTTGCTGTAATCTTTCGTTCACCCTAAATGCAACCAATGGCGGGGATAGGTCACCCTGAACGCGACCAACACAATTGTCTAAACCGGGCACCCATTCCTCTGAACGAGTCATTCAGAATGCAACTAACGCAACTGTGTGAACCAGGCGTAATTGGAAACGGATGCAACTGTCTGAATGAACCAGACTTAAGTCGCTCCGAATGCAACCAACGCAAACATTCGAACCAGGGACGAGTGTTCATTCCGAACACCAAATAGCCACCACAAACGACAGATTGCTTAGCATTCTTACAATGAGATTGCGTAGGAATGCAGTGATGGAAGTGGCATTTGACCTTTTGGAGCAGGCCTTGTAGCAGGCAAAATGTTGTTTTGGAGCAGGTAGTGGCCCTTTTGGAGCAGGGTCCGGCATATGTTGGCATATCACTTGAAAATGAAATAATGCTGCATTTCTATATAAAGCCCTCCTCTATTATTAGAACACAGCGCCTGTCGCCTTTTTAAGACAGAGTACTGTAAACGACTTATTTTTCGCGGGCTCAATATTTCGCGATTTAGGTCAGAGCTGAAGTCTTTGAATAATTCGCGGGTCCCAATTTTCGCGAAGGCCGTGGGATCTCGATATTGATTCCAATGTGCTAACATTTTACCGGAATTGTTCGTGGGACCTATTTTTCGTGAATTGAGGGCAATTCGCGAAATTCGCGAAAATTAGGTCCTCGCAAAAATTAAGTCGTTTACAGTATATAAAATCCAACAAAGTAAACACACAAAAAAACATTTTTTTTTAAATGAAGTTTATCTGCTCATCAGATAAAAAAAATACAATTAAATATGTCACACTGAGTTCTGATGGTACAGGATATTTAGTTTTGTCAGCCTGCACTTCTTTTAAGGTATCAGCAGCAGCATCTAACGACCCTCACTGTTGTCGAATGTTTAGTTCAGATTAGAGTTGTCTTTCGGGCAGCAGCTTCAAATATTGCGGTATCTGATTGTCGCTTCAAAAATTCAGATTCATTTTCGATGTTGCTGGCGATGTTGCTGGCGAAGTCACGATCGGATCACGGCGAGTTAACGCGTTGAGTGCGCTCCTTGGCATGCACCGACGCGCTGCAGAGAAGCGACACCCACGGAGCAGACACCGCAGTCGCGCGAGTCGCGCAGTGCTTTGTGCTCCGAAAAGGACGGTGAGGCTTTACCAGCACTACATCCAGAGTTTGGTTCAACTCAACTATAGGGAGTATTCACTGGCGGCCATATCTGTGTGCGCGCATTCTGAGCGCGTGCTGATGGCGAGCTTCCACAGTTCTTTTGCAACGTGCATTCCGCACCATCGAAAGTGCCAGTCTTAGCAGCCTATTGATGTGAGCTCGTTTTGAGCATGCGCTCTAAACAGCACTCACAAATATGGTGTCCAGTGAATACTTCCTATACTTCGTTTCAGCTTCGGCGCGAGCGCAGCCGAAGCTACAAGCGTGCGCATGGAGCCCATAACGGTGCCCACACTGCATGAGCCCACGCGCGAGTCAGGAATGCACAGAGCATTGGGTTCGCGCTAGCTTTGACTTCGCTGGCAGCTAGCTCACAGGAACAGGGCGGGCCAACATCGAAAACATCCACAAGTTCGGCCTTTTCATCTTTTTTTTTTTAAATAGGCTGCTCAGTGGGATGGTTCTTCGCTTAGCCTCTGCGGCTTCGGTCTGAGATCTTGCTAACGTTACTTTCAAAGATGATGGTGATAATGCGCCCTCGCAGTTTCAGTTTGCATAACAGTTGCGGCGCGTAAAATACCGCGGTACCGCCACGGGTTCTGATAAGACTTCCATTTTTATTTTTTATTGCTACATCTTATCTCGGAGCAGGCGTGGCGCAATTCTTCGGCAAAATGACAATTTGGCGCTACATGTAGCAGGATGGCTTCCTTGGCGCAATTGGTGCAGCACTTCCATAACTGGGTATGTTTCCCACTTTACACAAGCTTCCCGACACTACTAGGACCCGAGCGTACTCGCACGCGACATCACTGAACGAGAAGCTTCTTTGTCGCCGCATAATTTCGAGGACAAAAAGCAGACGTTTTCTTTCGGTCTCGCCTTCGCAAAACTCGACGACCAACCCGTGAGGATTGCATCGTTAGCGTCGTCAACAATGCAATTCCTAGAGTTTCGTCTCCCAGCATCGCGATGCCCGCTGCGTAGATATTTAAATGTGGCTCCTACGGTAGATGCAAGCATTCTATTTGGGCTCGTGACAACCAATGCCTCGACACGCGTTCCGGCGGCGGCTCGTACCCGATCGCCGCGACGATGCCACCGGCCAAACCTGAACGGTGCGCGGAACTCGGCAAGCGTACGCGCTTTGCCAACCCCAGCGCAGGGCTACAATAAACATTGGCGGGACATATACGGCTCCGGGCCATGTGGCTGCTCGTTCGTGCCTGCGAGTCGAAATACCTGCTCGATAAAAGGTAATTTTTCTATAAATCTTGTTCCAACATACATATAAATATGTCAAAAATATGGTATCATCGATAAAATATTTATTATGCAAAGTTTGTGGTGCCATCCATTCGAGGTCAACAAAACCGTCAGCTCTGTATGCTACCGCAAACAGCCGCCAGAGGCCGGACGGGGATGGCCGGACCCCGACAAGAGTTTCCTCCTTTCGCCATGTTGATCACGCTGCGCAAGCAAGTGGTCACGTGGTCGCAAGCGGGTGAGTTCTTGCTGCTGACTGATGGCTCTAGAGAGGGAGCTTCACCGGAACCCCGCGCGTCCCCCATTCACGTTGCAGCGCACGTGACTCGGAGGATGGTGAAGGAGTTGAGAGGTGCCGAAAACCTCAATCCTTGTCAGTTTTTAAAATAAAAACTAGGACATGCAGGCCCAAGCGCTTTTTTGTTCTCTACTTCAGAAAGGTCGAGACACCAACATCCAAATTATTTAGGCAAAGCACTGCAATCGCTGCACAGCTCCTTTAAATTAAGCAACCTAGACTGCTCTCCCTGGAGGGCGCGCAGGATCTTTGACTCACGTCTATCCTGAAGTCGTCGATGCTCCGGTACGGCTGGAGCTTGGCCTCCAGGGCAGGGTCCACCGGGCACTGGTGGCTCAGCCGGTAATACTTGCGGAACGCCCAGAACTTCTCCAGGCCGTACAGCTGTCCTGCACGGCACGCACGGCCCCCGGCATATCCGTCAAAAACACGTTCAAGTAAGCACAATTGGTTCGGTCGACGATGGCAGACGCACAAAGACAATGAGTGTCGTGACAATGCACTTTTGGCGTCGCTCGATTTACTTAGTCGAAGCGGGGCGTCGGCTGCGGTCGGACTTAAAGAAAAGCGTAGGCACCCTTAGTCTCTCGTTCCCACAAAAGTCGCATGACCTTAAACTATCTCTCGCACCCGCTTCGACCGCCTGTCGGCCCACAAACGAGGCAGCCGGAACCCGCTGGCCCACAAACGGCACTCGCCTTGTTCGCAGTCCTTGATGGTCTCCCTCTGGAAGTCCTGGTACAGCTCTAGCCGGAAGTGCTTCTCCAGGCCATAGCTGTAGAACCGGAACAGGCACTCCAGGCCATACCTGCAGCAACGAGGTCCGTCCCTCCGATCAGAACACCAGGCCACAGGAGGAGAGCGTCCAGTCGCCAAAGGTGTTGCCAGGGCAAAACCTCACTAGTGAGGTCGCGCTAATATCAAAATATTTCGAACCGAATCGAATAGTAAAGGTTACGAATCAAATAGAACATTTTTTAATACAATTTCGTTCGATCTGATGCAAATTAAACGAGGATATTCCAAAACACAACTGTAACCTTTTTCCTTCCAATGAACATAATTACCTAAATGTTTGATGCAATAAGAAAAACGTCACACGTGTGACCGATGAAAAACCGGATGATAAAATAAAAGGTTATTCGGTAAAACAGCATTCAAGAGGTGAAGTTAAAGAATGTAAACTAAAGTATACAAGCGGAGGCGGGTCGGCAAGCCACGACACAGTCCGAGATCACGTCGCGGACGACTGCAACCACGAGAATGTAAACGAAGGTATGCAAGCGGTGGCAGGTCGGCAAGCGACAATGCAGAGTCGAAGATCACGTCGCGCAGCCGCACTGACCTCGTGCAATCTCTTTCCCTGCAGTTTAAGTTCGGCCGAGAAAGAATGCCGCAAAGAAGCTATCAAATAAGAACACAGCTTATTTTTCGGCCGACGGAGCAAGTCCCACTTTTACCAGTGAAAATGGGCAGAAATAAATAACAAAAGGAATACTGGAAAACTGATGAATTGGAAAATCGAGAGGGAAACTAACACCAGCGGCTAGATCCATCGCGGCAACCACTGTAACAGGTATCACCGATGGCCAAGGTCAGCAGTAAGTCCATATCCGAATCCAGTTTGCGCTCACACGACGATGCACGTGCCTTTCCAAATCGTAGTCTTTCATCAAACCTATAGCAGCGATGGCTCCAGTCATGTTTGCGCCACAACCACTTTGCCAACTTTGTAGGGTGTACGAATAATCGAAACTTCGAATACTTTGCGAATAGAGCTTGCTGCTCGAATCGATTCACTTCACACTTTTACTTTTCAAAGTATTCGAGTTATACTATCGCTCCAAAAGGGTCCACTTCGGGCGCCTCGGTCGGGATCAAAATGCCGAGACTGCAAAAGTCCTGTTTTTGGAGACTGCAGCCTTTGCTCGTCGTCTTCGCAAAGGGACGAAACGAACCTCTTCGCACATGCGATCTTTCCTGGCGGTTAAAATGGCTGCAAGAAAGATTTCGACGTCCCTCAACCGGCTCTGTGGGGACAAGAAATTAAAGGTATGTGGTGCTCCAGACTAATGGCCGCCATAACTCGGTCCTCACTAGGGAGTCCGATTTTGCGTGCAGAAAGAAGGGAGAGCAGGCCCGAAATGTAGGCGATATTAACAGCGTCCTTAGGAGCGGTGTGTCAAGTAACCCCTGGGGAAGGTCGCGTTAGGCGAGAATCGAGGCAGACAACGGGCAAGGCTTACGTCTGTTGAGCAGAACCGGCAGGAACGCTAGGTACTTTCTCCCAACGGAGCCGGTCGCGTGAGGTAAAAATCTCTCTTGCATCAGTTTTAACCGCCGGAAGGTATACCCGCATTCAGCGGCAAATTGGCCCTGGCGCACCACCAGCTTCTGCAGCGGGGCTGCTTCGACACTGCGGCGAGAGGGAGAGAGAGAAAGGAGGGCCGGGTGCCCCACCTGTAGCCGGCGCGGGCGTCCTCGTTGGCCAGCCTGCGGAACTCGTCGTACATCTTGCGGTTGAAGTGCTCCCGCAGGAAGAAGGACCAGAAGCGGAACAGGGTGTTCATCTCCTGCGACTGCCCCACGCCCAGGCGCTTGCGCTCTGGGGGAAGGGAGCAAAATCGTGACACACACACATCACTCCCTTGTTTTGTTATCAACAGCAAGAGTTTAAAGACTGGAAACAATCAGTTTCTAGTCCAGATGCAACAATGATCGTTTTAAGTGGATTGCACGGTATCCATATGCTGCTATGCCAACCATATGAGACTTTTACCCACTCCTACCGCTTTCAACGTGTGTAGAGATCAAATAAGCCTGACTAATAAACGGTTCACCATGGCAACCTCTCAGGCCCCAAATGAGGATCAGTTTGAACCCTCAGATAATGTGTACCTAGGCCTCTGTGCGTCACTACATTCGCAGTTTAAGCTCCCACACCAACCCTTGGCCCACCAGCCACTTACCCTTGAGGCAGCGCGAGCGGTACTTGTGGTACACCAGCTGGGTGAAGCCGTTCTCCTTGAGCAGTGCGTGGCTCGGGTGCTCGAAGCTAGGCAGCGAGTGCGGGGTACTGCCGTAGGCGCCCGCACCTTGCAGGGATGGCATGCCGCCGCCCCACGTCAGCTCCGTCGGTGTTGTGCCCATCTCGCTGCGCAAGAAGACGGCCGCACCATCAGGGGTGAACGTGTCACGAGCCCGGGTTAACATGCATCGTGAGCACAGGTGTCACAAACGCAGATGTCACAAGAACTTGTGTCATGAGCAAATCTGTCATGAGCACATGTCTCATGAGTGTATGTGTTATGAGCACATGTGTAATGAGCACACACGTCACAAACACCCGTGTCACCAGCACAGGCGTCATGGCATGCATGTCGTGAGAACATGCATCATGAGCCCATGTGCCGTGAAGACAGGCGTTGACGACAGCATGTCATGAGCACGAGTGTCGTGAAGCTATTGTCACGAGAACATGCATCACGAGCACAGGTGTCACGAACAGACGTGTCAAGAGCCATAGCTTCATTACTAGATCTAATAAGATTGACACCATCAAGCCCCACATCACCACTACCTTGCATCGTGATTTACGTAACCCGACGCACGTCACATAGTCCTGTAACCCATAGTAGCACCAACACCGTGACCTGTAGTGGTGTCCCGCTAAATTCGGCAGGATGCTAGCTTGCTGGTAAGAGCCCAGTACAGCTATGCTGACCTGACAGCTACCAACTTCCATTCAATTAAGATGCATTAAAAACTTAACAGTTGGCCCTGTCGTTTCCCAAAGGCATTCTAAATGCGTGGCATTCAGAGGGCCTCCCTGAGCTCCTCCTCTTGTGAGCACAGTAAGGAGGCCACCAAAGGACACATTGTGAGGGCTTTGTGAGAGCATACAGAGCCGTCGCCATCGCATTACACTACAATGTCGCACAAAGTCGTGATGCCGCATGACAGACATGGTGACATCACAATGTCACATTACAGCGTCACCTGACAAAAGAGTGTCATATGACGTCGTAATTTCAAGTGACAACCTGATATCATGCGACGTCATCGAGGCTACATGTTGCAAAACACAAAATTCCTGAAGCTACTACGTCGTACAAGAGGCAGTCTGCAGATTAAGCATGTCTTGTACACTGGTCCTGTAATGCTGGTCATAGAAAAACTATCTTTAGACAAGGTCTTGTCTTCTGTGCCGTCGGAGACCCACCTGAGGGAGGTGGTGCGCGAGCGGGGCTGGTGTTCCCGGATGTCCAGCACCCATCCCACGTGGTGCTCCACGGGCGGGTTGCTGCTGTGGCGCGTCTTCTGCTTGCGGGGCGTCTGCTGGTCCAGGGGCCGGCTGCCCTCCTTGACCACGGGGTAGAAGCGGGGCGCCACACGGTTGTCCTTACGCGACCGGGGCGTACGCCCGCTGCCCGACACCGTGCTGCGGGGCGTGTCCGGCTCCACCCCGTCCTCCTCCTCCAGAGGCATGCACGGGGGTGGGGGAGGGGGAGGGGCCTGCTCCTTGGCCCCGCCCACGTCCGTGCCCCGCCGGTGGGCAAACTCCTCTTGGCTCACCACCTCCACCGTGCGGTACAGCTGCTCCTGCTGCTGGGAGACCCAATGGGAAACAGAAGGCAGGCCGGAACCATGTTTACGACGGGTCCCAGTTGCTATAGCTGACGCACGCTCCCGGTCCGCGCACATTTCCTTATTTCTCTACGCGTCCTCCTTTTGCCGCAAGAAAAAATCACGTCCAACAGTGCTGCGAGCCATCATTACCCAAAGGTACTCTATCTCACATGCATTGCAAAATCTGCCGTCTAGCTCGATGCCGGAAGCATTTGAGGGCCACGAGCATGCTGGTGCTGCCACCTTTCAACTTGCACTAGAAAGAGTGAACTGGGACTCTGGGTAGGGAGCTCTCAAACTCTTTAATGCCGAGGAACCCTTATATGCTTTCAGTGGCAGCCGAGAAACCCCTTCCTGTCTTGGCACCAATCTAATATGGCACTGCAGAAGCTTGCAGACCTTGTTTATGCAACGAGGCACATGTTTGAGTCAAGGTTAGGCATCAGTGAGCGCCTTAGGCCCGGTGAAAGAGCGCTTAAGACTGGAGAAAGCTATGGTTGGGGAACGGACAACCAGGGAAATGTGGGAGATTGGGGAGCACGTACGGGTACTCTGGGGAAACCCTGGGATCCTGCCCGTGGGGCACGCCGGAGAGACGCTTAACTTGACACGGGTTCAACAATCCTAGGGGCCTAATTTGGGCCTAGTACGGTTCTGCTCCGACGTGGCAGTTTGTGCCAGAGAACTTTCCTTTGGTGCTTCTATGGCTTTCCTCTCGGTCGCCACATAATTGCCAAAGTGCCAGACTCGAACCGAGGATGTCACGTATGAACCAAAGGACAGGCAGCGAAGCCCAAGTCCGGCACTTGTTTGGCAGTTTGGGTCCAAAGTTTCCAAATGAAAACCAAACGACCAGGAGTGAAGCCTAACTCCGGCACCTGTCCGGCGATTTAGGCCCAAAGACGCCAGATGAAACTACCAGCAGTGAAACTTTGGCACTTTTTTAACAAATTAGTGCCAAGACACCCAGACTCTGGCGAAAGAAGTCAAGCTTTGCTCTACCATGGCTTCTTTGGGCATTTTAAAGGCCCTAAATTTCCAGAAAAAGACAAAAAATATTTTTGGCCCAAGATGCTGCGCATCCCAGGTGGGAACCCGCCTCAGAACTCACGCCCTAGACGGGGGGGCCAAGAGAGAAAGAGAGAGCGCCCTCGCTCACCCTGTCTATCCTGTTCCAGAGGTCGTCCTCGTAGTAGTAGAGCCCGTCGTTGATGATCTGGGCCAGCTCCTGGGTCATCTTGACCCGGGTAGTCCAGTCCCCCGTGCGGTCGTAGCCCTCGTGCTTGCGCAGGCCCGCCCCCGCCCCCACCTGGGCCGGGGCCGGGGCAGGGGGCGTCTGGGTCACAATCAGGATCTTGTTCACCTCCGTGTCACTGAACTCGTAGTCCGAGTCGTCGGACCTGCGGGCAGGACGGAAGCCTTCGACCGGGTCCTTGCACTCGACGTCGCCTACGGATGCATTATGGTCGCCAGATAATGAGAACGGCAGGGCATTCTCATTCTCCAGCACATGCCCGTGCCTACCATTGTGCTTTGGCTGCGTAAGGCAGTCCAATAGACCTGCAAATGCTAGCTACAAACTCCTGTGCCACGGGTGCGGCAGATGCGCCTTCTATGGTGCGATAAATGCGTGGGAACCTGCTACGACGTACCCCCGTGTTGCAAGAACCGATGTTGCGGACGGCGTGGTCGACCGATTTTCGTCGGACGTCGCATATCGGAGGTGGGCATTGTTTTGGAATTCTTAGCCTTAATGTATCTAGCCAAAAGAACGGAATGAGCAATCTTACGGCATACCCGGCAGCATGTTGATAACTGGAAGGTCTCGCATCCATGAACACTCTGTGGCCCGGGCGTTAAACCGGTGGCGACACTTCACGCCATTTTCCCCATTTGTACACACGTAGGCCATTCTTTGCCGGCATCGCCGACGACGGAACCCAAGGACTGGGACATACGTTGGGACGCTTAAAACCACCGTGAGATCTCGTAAAAACGCCCTTACCCGAAAGACGGCCAATGCCGTCGCCCGTGCCGTCTTTCTGGCTCGATATTCGTAACATAAAAATTCCGAAACATCACCCACTCCAATGCCTGTCAGACATCGCACAATGCCCAACGGGAATTGCACCAACTGCGAGATTGTGGCGACAATATGTGCAACAAGCGAAGTCGTAGCGGGTTTCCTCGTTTTTGAATTCGACCTGCGCATGCGCCGTATGTTACGTCCTGAAACGCGAGTCTGCTGCGTCTGCAATCTGCGCCATCCGTTCCCGTGGCATGCGAGTTTGTAGCGGGTTCCCGCGGGTTTATTGCATCACGAAACTTGAATCTACTGCGTCTGGGACCTGCAGTATGTTTGTTCCCGTGAGTCTCCGTTTGCAAATGTGGGGTGTGCGCAACCGGCGCATATTTGCTGCGTCCGTAATCTGCGGCGTTGGTTCCTGAGTCACATGGTTTTTAGCGGGTGCCCGTGTTCACTGCTAAAATTTGAAGTTTTCTCGTCACATCCCCAAGGAGAGCGCACCCCATGTTTTTCACCATTTATCTTTTCGTCCTGGGTGGCTGTCGACACTGAATTTTACGGTAAGCTAACTCCAGCCTTTTTCCTCTTTGCAGCTGCCCGCCGACATGTGCTGGGGCCATTTTGGCTGCGACGAGTCACTTTTGCAATTGCCCTCTCGCTTAAGTTTGAACAAAGACAGGTACGCGCAAAAATAAAGCACCAGCCGACGCACCAGCCGACGCTTTTCCTTGTTGTGGACATCTCTAGCTTGTGCAATCACGATGCAAAACAATTCAAGTAAACTTGAACGAGCAGAAAAACACAGCCTTTGAGCATAAAAATACATAAGACGGAAGTGGACCAACGCAGCGTCTAGCAAAAATTTAGTTTTTTTTAAAAAGTCACGCCCAGCGTGTTTTATTCCTTTGACTCGGCGCATTCCTAAGTGGTTCCAGTTTCAGTCTGCTCCCACTAGCCCCGGCCAACTGGGCAGTCATTCTCTCTTTACTTGTAGTGGCATGTACGAGAGAGTGATAAAAACAATGCTTTATTCTGTAACGTCACTTTTTGAAAGCATAATTTTTTTTTACGCAACTTTTTCTTTTTTGTTACGGAATAACAAATCTATGTTGTTCACCCTCGCACATTGTGACGAACAAGAAGATCTAGAAATTATTAATAAACTCGGCATTTGATGACCGTGAAAACACAAGTTAGTTCCAAACTAACAGAGGCAGAGCGGAACGCTTGAAAGAGTGGCCTTGGAGGGCAAGGCCGAGGTGCCACTGCAGGGTGGCACGCCTCCAAAATTACGACGCGAAAAATACGTCATGAGCAGAAGGCACGCACACGTCTATACTTTTTCGTCCATAGAGGTCAAACTGTGAGCCGGATCATCGGCTCAGAGCCACAGAGGTGGCCCTTCGTGAAGTTAGCGCGAGTGATTGTAAGCCTGCACAAAGTTACCCTCGCGCGCATGATGCTCGTGTCTGAGCACAGCCTCCTTTATTATACAAAGCCTGTCAAATCGCAAAAGACTTTGCTTCGAGGCCTGTCATCGTCGTCCGTTCGTTCATAGCTCTAGTGAAACTCGGGCATTACAAAGCGTGCTACGGCCGCGAGCCGGGACACCCGCATCGGACCGTCGTTTGTGCCTACCAGTCGGTGAAGGTGTTCTTGCGGCCGTCGGGCGCCCGTTCCAGCTCCTCGTCAAACTGGAACTCCAGTTCCTCCCGGTCCGGGTCCAAGGCCTCCTGGGGAGGCTGCGTCTGCGGCAAAACAAGGCGCTCAGGCTACGACGACCCGCGCGTCTCCCGCGTCCCAGCCTGTGGACCGCTTTCGGCGCATGGACGTCGCAGGATGCTGGGGAGGGGGGGGCACTCACCCTGTTGGCGGCCCGGACCGTGGCCCTGTTTCTGCGGCGCACCTCCTTCCAGCCGTCGTGGCCGGGCTCGCGGGGCTTGCCCTGCGAGGGGGCCCGGGGAGCCTCCGCCTCCTGTTCGTTGTCCGCCTCGTCCCCCGCATCCCCATCTTCGCACAGCCGCCGGGAAGCGCCGGACATCTCTGCAACAACGATCGCAATGCGCGGTTCAACGTGCCGCCGGACGCTCAGGAGGCAGGCTGCCATTGAGCCGTTAAGGAAGGACGCTACCCAAAAGGGTCAATTTTGGAACATCTGGCCTAATGTCAATTAAATTTACGGTGTATGATGGCAGTTGCAAGGCAGAATGCGGTGAAAAGTTTCATCTGTGTGCATGAGTTGTGAAATAAATCCTAGTCGTTTTTATCAAGAACACACCGATATTGTTTAGGAAAACTATCGTTAGAAAACTAATGCAATAGCCAACATGTTTCTTCACTAGGTACGCGGCAGAATGCCTGGAGAGAGCATCTGTGAGAACAAAATTTCCAAAAAGTAATTTATTTGATGCTAACGTCGTGCTGAAAAATTAAATAAATTTTCGCCCTTTTGTGTTGTTGGCAAAACCTTTATACCTTTTAAAAAAAAACAGGAGACAAAAAACAATAGAAGCCACAGTTGCATTGTTTAATAAATTCCAGTTAGAAAAACAAAGAGTGAGCTTTTCCTTTGTCCCTTTACCAAATGATACTTTTCCTAACGTGCAATTTATGCCAAGAAGTGGAACGGGGAAAAAGGCATTCAAAATGTTCAAACCTCTGCCTTTTTATTAGCATCGGCGGACCAAAAATAATTTATAAAAAAAATGACTATGCAGAGTAAACAAATGAATCTTTTGGGAATACTCTCGAGATGTTTGTACATGTGAATATAAAATTTCTCAAGATTACTTTTTCTTTGTCAATTTTTTTAATTGCATTTATTAAAATCAATAGGTTTGATCAATGGATTTTATAACTCCCATTTCAAAGCTTTCAGCACCGTTTTTAGACACCTCACACACTCCAGAATATTTCTGAGGAGCACTACTCTTAGTTTCGGTTTCTGTCTTTTTTTTTTTTACGTAAGGTGGGGGTGGGGGTGGAAGGTTTTCGTGCGACTTTGAAGTTCTAACATTGTGAGTGATCGCATCGAGCATGGGGTCCTCGTTGCACGCCGACCCTCCTCAAAAACATTCTCTGACTCGTTCTGGTGCATATGCGATCAATTTCATGGATGATAGTGGCAGCAGTAGGTCAGAAGATGACTTTCATTAAGGGAGCCTCACATGTCTCATCATTCAGTCAACCTTCAGAAGTCCTTGAGCGGACACATGTCGACAACATGAAAGGTACGAAAAAGAAAAAATTGCGGTGGCTTAGCTCGGCTATGCCAGGACCCATATACGTAGCGAGAGCTTATGCGCACAAAATGAGAGATGCTATCAAGCGGCTCCGGTGCAGCGTCAAGACATGGCTACTGCGCAACGGAGGCGCACAGCTGGGCACGCGGCGGCGCCAGTGCGTCTGCCGCGGCTATGACGTCACTCCTCTGGAATGCGCAGACCGGCGAGGCGGGTGCGGCGGCTCGGACGCGCCAGCTGCGCGCCGTGCGACGTCACTGCTCCTCGCGCATGCGCAACACGGAGCACGGCTTATTATGCGAGCCACGCGAAACTGCTCAACCTCGGCCACTGTAGCTCACACTACAAAACACGTCGGCGACATGAAAGGTGTGAAAACACATCGGCAACACGAAAGGTACCAAAACCCCGGTTTGCCACTGGACCACAAGATGGCGTTACTTGTGCCAGAAACGGCGGAGGCACGCACTTGGCGCAAACCCAGCGGGAGAGGAGGACACTCTCGCTCAGGCAGCGGTGAAGAGCGGGCATGCGACATGCCGCAAGATTGCCGGCGCCAAAAGTGCGCCGTTAGAGGGCGTGCTGTCTGCGGAGGTTTGCTATCACCAGGATCGGCACTTTGGCTTTCACCTTCAAGTCGTCTTAGAGATAATGTAAGAAACCCTTCAGCAGCAAAACAAGCGGAGTTTCCTTCATAGAGGCTGCCTGGTCCCAACCTCGGCATAACGCTAAACAATAGCGCGGAACGCTTTGGTCGGCGCTTCGGGGAATGGTACGGTCATCACGGGGGCAAAAATTTTTTTTTCTGCAGAACGAGAAGGTTTGCTCGGAAACTTTTCAAACTCGCAGGAGTTGCTTCTAGAAGACTAAGGTACGAAATGTATATTTTGCATTTTTTTTTACTTTTACTGTAAAATCTCATAAAATGCACAACCAAAATGAAAAGGTAAATGCTGAATAACGTGGGGCGGGCGACCTTTGGGGATGCAACGGCAATATTTTATCAAAAGCAAGTAATAAACGCGGCCCAATAGTAAAACTATAATAACTTTGCGAAAAAAATGAGACGTTTACAATTCCCCGTAATGCCGAATTAGAGTGCAGCTCTTGAGGAGGAGGAGGGGAGGGTACAAAGAGGAGGGTATGGCCCTCCTCCTCATTATCCTCCCTTCCTTCTCCCCTCTGTCCCTTGTGATGTCACTCGTGAAGGTCACGTGAAGGTCGTGACTTTCTTAAGCGACCTTCGTGACGTCATTATGGGAAACGTCCCATTATGCATTGTGGGGTTACTCGACGGCGACACCGCTCAAGCAGGAAACGGCGCCTAAGAGCTGCGCTCTAAACGATTATTGCAACCTGTAATCTGGGTTGCTAATAATTCAGATGTGTCTACTGATGCGTCAAGCCAATTTTGGGGCATAGTCTAAGCTCGTTATAACAGACCTTGATTTTGACCAAGATTTCGGTCTGTTGTAAAAGGGGTATGTTATATACGGATATGAAGTTGAATCAATGGTATGTAGAGGAAAACCAACCAAACTTCACAAATCGGTATGTTATGTCCAAATGTCTGTTGTAACCAAGTCTGTTGTAAGGAGCTTAGACTGTATCGGCAACCGTTAACATTTCACAGGAGCTCGGAGTCACCCCATTCCCCAAAGGGAGACGAGGAGAGAACTGGCAGTTGCGGGTGGGCCTACCGGAGCCGTCGCCCGGGGAGCCGCCCGGGTGCAGGGGCAGGTAAGGCTGTCCAGGCACGAAGGCCGGCACGTCCGGGTGCAAGGCGGGGGGCTCCTGCAGCAGAGGCCAGCGAAGGGGGTCCCGCACCGTGCGCACCTTCACCTCCCCGCACAGCTCCAGAGCGCTGCTCTCCTTCACCGCCTGAGGAAAAGCGGCACACCCCCCCAATGGACTTGTGAGGAGCTGTTTGAGGCATGGCTTACACATGGCAGAGACAACACTTTCTAGAAGGCGAGGCTTGCGCCCCTCCTCCAAAATGTTGTCACTATAGTTTGTTTCAGCTCAAGAAGGAGGGCGAGGGAAAGGAAGGCCAGGGAGGGAGAAGCAGATGGAACGTTAGAGAAGAGAGGGGGAAACCTCCTCCTCTCTTTAACGCTTCACTGCTTCCTCCCCCCCCCCCCCCTTCCTTTCCCTCGCCCACCTTTTTGAGTTGAAACAAACTATAGCAGATTCCCGTTGGCATCGCCGATGGCGCGTCTTGCGCAGGCCTAGTCTTCTAGGCAGTACTGATAGAGCAACTCTGCAATGAGGTCAGTTTTGCCGCGGAAAAGGTTTCACCGTGTCGGCGCCTCTGTCCCCAGGTTCCCCGTCTCCGAGGTCCCTAAGCGCACCATCACATTCTTAGTGAAGCCACCTGCGATTCAGCCTCGAAAAAAGCGAATGAATCGTGGCAGGCTGCCAAACACCATGGCACAAGCTCTGCCAGCCACACGACGAAAGAAAACAACAAGAAAAGAAAAGAAGGGGAAAAATTACAGAAGCTTGATCACGCTGACAAAGACCGGTAAGTGCAGAAAGTGCAACAGGCCTTCCAGGGAAGAAGAGCCCGAATGGCACTGCCTACCGAAGATTCGCTCTTATTTTTGGCACACGTCGCGATATGGCGCAGCACAACAGAAAAAAACGCGAAGCACGCGACCATTCTCTCGTGTGACGCGCCAAAGACTTCGCTTTTGAGTGATCCTAACACCAGCCCCAGATCGCTCAGTCGTCAAAGCACCTGTCTCACCATCTCGACGTGGTGAGTTCAGATCCTGCCGGGGAACCTAAGTTTCATGGGGAAAACAGCTCAGAAAACGCGGACCACGAAGAAGAACAAACACGGCGTGACAATGCTGCATTGTCCTGTCGAGTTTGTTCTCTGCAGTCTGCGTCTTCTGAGCTGCTTTCCCCATCATGTATAACGTCAACCAACTGGCCCAGTTTGCCACCTCATTACAGAGGGACCCAAGTCTTTACATGGTTCCGTAAGGAATAACACTTTTCAGAGTTCATTTTGCGTTACAGCCGGCCGCTACAGAACTCCGCGAAAATCGGGTGATAAAACACATTACGTGTTACGGAAGAAGCAGGAGGGAGGACTCCGAGATGTTTCGAGAGGGTTTCGCCATCAAAAACAAGAACAACAAGAGAGAACGCCGAGTGAAAAGGAATAATGTTGGCACAGGGTCGCATGCCTCGAAGGTCGACACTGCAGTTGGCGTCTGCAGTGCTCCTCATAAAACACAATATCTGCGGGTGACCGTTTCATCTACAGATCCAAATACGACTGCAATATTTTCCCAAGAAAATGCTTCACCACATCAGCACTTCACACCTAGGATTCTCCATTTTCAGGGTTTCTTTTCCTTTAAATTTGGGTTTTCTTTTTCTTCTGGATTTGGTTTTGCTTATTCAGCAATTTTTTTTTTTTTCTTTTCTTTCCCTTTTTTTTTACGGAAAACTGTGTTTTTGGTCTCAATTTTCACTGCAGCACCAAAATCCGGCGTCTGTCGGGGCTTACCACGGAGGAAATAGGACGCGGGAACGAATTTCCTCACGGAGAAAGAATAAAACATGCTTTCAACTTCTAGGGAACACCTAGGGAGCATTTTCTCTACCTTTAGGGAAAGTTTCCTCAACCTCTAGGGAACGTCGGTGCAACCCAAACACTTGGAAAATGTCTCTGTAGCGACTCGTCGAGGAAGCGAAATGAAGGGCGCAGCTCCGAAAAAAGCGGCAGCCTAGAGCTCAGCTCTGCGGGGCTCTGTTCCAGGTTAACACAAAATGAATCTGGGTGTTCCCCCGTCAGATCGTACAATGACTGTCCGGGTCATATTTCTTATATCTATGCAATATAAATGAAAGCCATGTTCTCCGGAGGAACATTCAGCGATATGTGAACGCTGTAGCTAAATCTTTCCCAGAGATACAAAACTGAGAAGATCGAGGCGTAGACATTGCCAAGATTTCACTGCGGTAATTTACAGAGCCGCCAATGCCACACCGAAGCAGGCACGCGTTAGTTTTTTAAATTTACTTTGCGAACAATTTATAAAAAATTACAATTATATATTTCCATGAAAAAGAATATGCAACGCATAAACAAAAAAAAAGTTTGAGACACTTTCACAAATTATTTATCTAAAAAAAAACTTGACTCAAAATGTCACAAAATATATTAAAATCTGTGCCTTAGAATGCAGCTTAAGAATATATCAAAATATCTGCTTAGACATTATTGCAGTCTTCTCATTAATTTAGAAATGCAAGTCCTTTCTCTAAAACTTTCATAATTGCCCATCAATATTTGAACACACTCCATCTATTATCTCTTTTGAAGCTTCCTTCTTATTTTCTTGTAGTAACTTAAACTAACTTGTGATGGCAACATATTGAGTAGCGTACGACCTCCAATCAAGAAAAGCGACAACAAACCTTCACTCGAATTGAGCCAGATTGTCTTCGTTATAGGGGCCTTTGCCGCACGACGTCGGCTTTAAAAAGGTGTTCTCTAGACCCGACAAAGTGTGTACAACGGTGCTGCTCTATTGCAGAGCGTAGAAAGTCGTCCTGGCTTAAAACCACGAGACTAGAACACGGTGTAAGATAATACTCTTCAGGTGACGACAGCGCGCTCCTCGCGACGTGCCCGAAAAAGTTCGCTCTTCACTCTCTCTTACTATGGTTTCAAGCGGCACCGGCAGGTGACTCGTCGACCCGTGGGCACGTACAAGACGGCTCGTGCCGCCTCATGTACCACACGTGCAGAGCTCCAACGAGGTTGTCGCACGTGCAGAAGGACCACGGTGTACCGGGGTGTCATGGCAACGAGATAATTTTTTTCATTCTCACACAGCTTCGCCGTTTGGCCGCCGGCAACACTGTCAGCCGCGGGCACGGTTGGCCGCGGAATAATGCAGCCTTTCAGATGCCCGTCGAACGAACACTATCTGATTCCTCACGCGCGTTCAGCCCCGCCGTGTCCTCACCTAAACAGTGTATCTTACACCGTGGACTAGAACGAGGAAAAAAACAGACAACACAACACAAAACCTCAAGAACAGCAAAGTCTGCTCGACCACACCAAAACAAGGAAAGAGCAAGAAAATGGAACATGACGTCGCAAAGACTTGAGCAGACGCCGCTTGGCAGGCGAAATACCTACAACACTAGACGCGCTTCCGACGACGAGCATCCGCCGCCAAGCACCCGCGAAGATAATCTCCGCCAAGACTACGAGAACAGACCAACTTCCTAATCTCGGGGTGCTAGATCATGATGTTTCCTAAACAGCCCATCTGCATGCGTTCGCCGCACTGGCATGCCCGAACGGCCACTCCCCGAACAGACCGAGACAATCAATCGACGGCCCGTGCGACCGGCCGTCGGCGACCCACCTGAATGACCAGGCCGACGTCCTGTGTGAGTGCTTGGATGCGATGGAACGACGCAATCAGGCTCACCGGCAGGTAACCCTGGGCATCCATCTGCAGAATGGTGCGGAAGAAAGTCGACACATACATCGCTCGATCAGCTCGGTGTTGCTCATGGACGCTACTTCCCCGTGCAAACCCCCTCTCCCAGAAAAGTTTGCCTCTCATTGTTCGAAGAGCCACGGTTTTCGAGCAGCCGTTAGGACAACTACAGTGTAGTCCGTAGAAAACGGAGGTTTTGAAGCACAGCTAGTCGCTCATAACACCGCCAAAATTATTATCAGCCCACGGAAAAGGAATGACACACAAAACAATTTAAGAAATTTCGAAGCTTGCAAGTCGATGAGAAATTCGACCGTCGTGTCAAGTGTGGCACCAGCCAATTATGGCCGCCAAATTCCTCGCCGATTTTTTTCGCCAAGTGTCCAGATTATAGTCCCAAAGCGTCCGGTTCCCGTCTGCGCTCATTACGTGCCGGTCGTGATTGCCTACGTGCGGCTGTGCAATCGTCCAGCAAACGTGGCGCCAGAAACCGGTGTCGGTCTCTCCGCAGTTTCCAAGCTGATTATTAGTTCTTTGTGTGAGGTGTTATTCTCGGTCGTGCTGCACTAGTCACGTGTCGCAATGTTTAACCCACGGGCCCAAGACCCGTCTGCACGAGCGGCGGCGGCGTGATACAGTTTCAACGTGGCACAACCGTTTGTGCTTTACATTGGTGCTTTTCAAACGTTTAGGGCGTCGCATGCCGCGAGCGTCTTGCATCGTGCCCGTGTGTGTGCTCACGATCACGTCGTTACTGGCGCGTTCCCATATCTAAATAGGTGACAAGTGGTTTCGCCGTAATCCATCAAACGCAAATGTAATAATTCTGCTCTGTGTTTGTATAGACTGCGAGTCAGCCAGCCCCGATGGGTGTCTGCTGCCTCTGCTGTGGACGAGAAATTTAGCCAGCGCAGCACGACTGCTAACTTGGGGTTTTTAATGTAGTTCACGCAGTGGCAAACGTTTTAACTTGATGCTGAAGTGACGGTCGATAACTGTTTTTTGGCTAAAACGTTCTTGCCGGACCTTCGTCTTTGAAATGACCACAACCGACCGATTGCTGCCGCCAGTAACTCCCGACGCAAAATCATCCTGATGCCACGAACTTAACGTCGAAAAGCAAAACTCGAGAGACTTGGAATGAATCTACTGCTGCTAAATTAATGGGAAGGACACGAACGCTCGTGGAAACGATAGAAAGCGGATGGCAGATAAAAATGCAGACAATCACAATAGACTACTTCCATAAAGCCCTGCATGCAACACGGCGCGCGTTGCACTCTGGGAACTATTTGGCCAGGGAGGAGGGCGGCATGGTTTCGGTTTCGATCGACACGTCAACAAGAGATTGTTTTCTGGTCCCAAGAGCGTCATTTGTGGTCTCTAAACTAACCTAAATTGCCAGACCTCGAAGCTTTAGCACAAGCCTGAGACGTATAGCTTGTCTTAACACATGCTTGTTGCATTTTTGTACTTGAGCCTTCCTGTTAGCGTTCCAATCGAGGTATGTGGACGAGCCAGTGCTGGGAATCTCGACGCTGCGAAGCTCGGGGATCTTGCTTGTGTACGAATCAACAAGCTGTAGCAACCAATAAGTATGCATACATCGAGCTCGCGCCTTTACATTAGTGTTGTTGATCAGGAAGTTTGTTTGCTTTGTGCGTCTGTAGACGAAATATTACGTTTTGCAATTACTGTATGCGAGGTAAACCTTGGAGGCGCCACTGAAAAGCTCAATTTAACACACTTCTCATCTCTTACTGATTCGCAGCACTGCACGAAGTGAAGTCCCCACCCGCTTGCTTTCCACTAATATTCAACATCGCGTATGCGCATAGAGTTATCCTGCAATCATATAAACGAATTCGCACAAACAGACCGTTTTAAGAAAGCAAAAGTCAAGCACTTGTGTGAAGAATGTCGCACCGTTCGCCGGAAGTGCGCCGGACGGGCATGAACCCCTATGCGCACCGCACAGGGGTTCACGCCCGTCCGGCGCACGGTGCGACATTCTTCACACAAGTGCTCGAACGAATTCAAAGCGCGTTTGACGGTTGCTAATGACCATAATATTTGTTATGTGTTTGTTTTCTTTCTGCCTGAGTATGCCGAGATAATTTCAGACACACCGTTGAGGCACAGATCTTGAGCGTCAGTAAAAACTCGTGCAAAAAGGCTTAGCGAGGAGTAGGGGACGCTTGTTAGGGCCTCCGTCGTAGCTAGCCGATCTCAGCGTTTGCGAAAAGTTAATCTTCTATCAGCATAAAATTTTAGTGGGAGATATATGATGACACGAGGAAGACATCATAGTAATTTTGTGCAGTAGTGAGGTCCAATTTATTGCGTTTCCTCAAAATGTTTATGCGTAAACGCTGGGCTCAACTTTGACACCCTGTGAGGATGCGGCTTGCTTTCCGCCCAATGAAGTAACAAGAAACGGACGTTTGGCAAACAAAATACGTGTAGGGCTCAAGGTAACCAAATTTCAGTTGTAGTTCACTGGTACTAGACGGGATTATTGAAATTGAGCTCAAACATGCACTCGTGGGGTGAGGTGACAAAGCCACGACTTACTATGTTCGCATACGCACTCACAATATCCGGTGTTTCGGGAACCAAGGAAAGTGCCCCGGTCTTTGTTTTGTATCGCTCGAGAATGAGTGTATTGTACGTTCGTGAAAAGTCAGATAACCGAAAACGCAAGCAGCGCGTTCGGTCGCGGCGTGATAGCATGAAGCTGCTCAGTCGAAACCGAAACTGAGTGGCCAACTAGTTCCCAGAGTGCATTGCGCGGTATTTCGCCGGGATGGGGCGCGTCGGTTTTGGAAGTAGTCCATTCGAGCAGAAAACGTTTTTTTAGCACACTGGAATAAAGAAATATTTGCAGAAAAGATTTGGTCACTTTAAATCTAAGGAAACTCGAATGGTGTCATCAAACCCCAAATAATTAAACGTAGCATACGACCTGGCGTGGAGAAACAAGAGCCAACAGGTGCAGACGACACCCTGCGCCTCTGCTCCAAAAGCCGATCGCAGCGCCAGTGGCACCAGTCCTAACGCGGGCGGCTGCACTGGTTCTGCGTCACCGCTGCGCGACTCCTGCACTCCTTTGAACTCGAACAGAAGTGGTTCAGAACTTTCTAGCTGAATCGAACAGACCTATAGTTTCCCCGCCAAATTTATCAAGAAAACTTAAAATTTAAAGCTCTATTATTACTTTTAGGATTTTGAAGGTAAACATCGCTGGCAATTTTGTTATTATTATTGTTATTATCATTTGCAGATCGTGTCAGTCGGAAATTTTAGGAGTCTGCGCGCATGGATAAAAGTCGTTGTTCCACAAGGGTCTGCGCTGTCACCGCTACCTGTTTTCATCTATGATCCGTTTTCCTTTTCCGCTTATCTGTCGCTTTCTTTATCGTTCCTCCCATCGCGACCGCCAACGTCGGCGCTTCCGACTTGCCGCCTCCTGCTCCCGTCTTTGTGCCCCCTGGGGGGCGGTGGACGCACCTTTCGCCTGAGGAAGAAGTCCCGCTGCAGGTTCTCCTCCGAGAAGTAGTATTCCACCTGCTTGCGGACATACTCCCTGAGGGTGGCCTCGTCCACCCTCATGAAGCTGTGGTTGAAGTAGTACGTGCCCAGGAACGGGCTCGTGAAGCGGCCGCGGCTGCTGCTGCCGCCCTCCGCGGCGCCGGCGCCCTTCCGGTCCGCCTCCTCGCCCGACCCTGCACCGTGTGGGAGCGCCACTTTGCCACGACACATCGTTTACGGGACGAACACAGCTCCGCGAAGTGAGATGCACTTGAGGAGAGACACGGCTCCTTGAGGGAAAAAAAATACTAAAAATAAACACATTTTGAAATACAGTAATCTCTCGTTATAAGGAAATCGCTTTTTTTTTTCCTTCGAATTATCGCTTTTATTGAAGTTCAACATGATCCCCACCGAAGTGCACGGATTTTGAACCGGAGTATTCGAAGTGTATCGGCGGCCGACCACTCTCGTTACGATGGCCGAGGTGGCGAAAGCACGGAAGCCTACACGGAGGCGCACAGACACCCTCGCGTTCCCTCCCCTTCTCCATCAAGGCAAACGGCAAACAAGAAAACGGAGCAAACCGGCGACGGAGGGCAGAGTGCGCAGAGCGCCACTTCCGATGCAGATGCGCTGACACGGCCAAGGAGCAGCGGGAGCAGCGTCCATGTTCCGACGCTACTCACGGCGCCTTTGAACCGATGCTGCCCAACTGTCAGAATCGGGTCAAGAGAGCAATGGAGCCCGGAGGAGATCATTTCGTCAGAAGCCCCCGACACACGTGCCTGTGCGAGCAGGGCGTACTCGTCCATCGCACCGGAAAGGGGGAATGTTTACCGAAAGTCGCTTACATCAGAGAGGTTGAGAAAAGTGGCCGGCCCAAGTCCAAAATCGCCAAGAGTTCGAAATTTTGCTGTCGGCTGTTCAACACTGTCCATCATTTTGCAGAACAACCAAGGCACACTGGACGGGTTCGAGAAGTTTCTTGTGCAAGACAAAGCATGCCCGCGACCCGAACGCGAAAGATCACCCACTGCTTTTCACACGTCAGATTTTCTCTCGCCAGCATGCTTGCCAAGCCGGTGCGCGATTCCCAGAGCTGCAACAATCTCTGCAGGAGTGTGCGCAAGCATGTCGGCAAAGCTGTCGAGGATAACTTTGATTCCTTCGTGCTTGTCGATGCGGACGTTCCCATTGTTGCTACTGCCACAAATGCTTCGATCGTGGACTTTGCGTGGAGTCGGGGTAAACACAAAGCGACGTCCGAGGGGCATCTCGGGAAACGCCGACTGCGGAGACGCGTAACATTCTAAGGCTGCTTCAGAAGGAGTGCACTGGCAACGACTGCGTTCTTGCAATGCCTCGAGCAGTTCGAGGAGAACTCATGCCCGGTGAAATTATCGGCGAACCTTTTTATTTATTTATTTACTTTTACTTGGTAAAGCTGCCCCCAGCTGTTTATAATCAAGGTTTGTTTAGATATACGGTCAGGGTGTTCTGCAGTGTTCAACCTACAAGGCTATGTCGCTGTTTTTTTGGCTCTCTCACTTTATCAAATTACCACTTACCGCGGAGACCGGTTATAACGAAGTCAACAGAAATCGGAAATCACTTTGCTATATCCGCTTCTTCATTATATCTAAACTCATAAAAGTAACATGCAAGAACAAAAGATAAAACCGGCCGTCACGGGCACATGTTCATTGTGCATACAGAAAGCGATCCAGGTTTCACTGCACGCACTCTCTGCTAGATCAGAGCCGCATCTCGCTGCGAGAAACTCTGATTGATAAAAGCTCCTATAAACTAGGTACGTTGACAGCTGCAACGGCCGTCGTGAAGGACGCCGGCGGTGGACGGCATTTTTCATGTTTCTGGACACTTCATCGAGGATGGCACGCTTTTGTTTCAAGAAGACTGCCTTCGCCTTCTCCGTCCACGTGCCGGCGGTGCCGGGACTCTCCATCGGTGAGCGGCGACGATTCACTGAAACGGTGCTTGAGCGAAGTTCGACTTTCGTGCAAGAGCGACCAAACGGACAAGTGACTCCAACACGGAACACAAAGAAGTGCGCAAAACACCGGGTTTGCGCTTGAGCTCGCCTTTCGTCAATATACCGGGCGTCCCAAGTAGTGGTCAGGCTCTTTAAATCGACCGCAAAATTCGGTTTCTTGACCTATCGCGCTACGATTTTGTGCAGCGTTGCCTACACATGGTGCATTTTTTCTATAAAATTTGCGAAGAGCAAACTGACCTGAGGAAAAAATAAAGAAAGCGACTCTCGCTCAAATATCCGCGAGAGCTGCTCAATTTTTTTTGTTAAAAACGGACAGAAATGCATCGAAAAAGTGCAGAGAGGAATGGGAAATCATAATCGCTTCGCTGTAGCCGCTACTTCGTTATACCGACTTCGTTATAACTGGTCTCGATAGTATGTCAAACTTTTTTGCCATCCCATTTACTTCTTTATAACGAGGGATTACTGCAGCGTTTTTTTTAAAGATCGACAGACACTTTTTATTGTGCCCCAAAGTAATTTTATAAAATAAGTCAGTGCACGTTTTTCTTTTTTGCTAATATTTTAGGTTGGACTATTCACACACTTTCCTATTTTATGGAAGCCACATGCACATATCGATTCTTATTTTCTTTTTCTTTCTCTGGTAGCTGTACGAGTGAGGCAGATAATAAGGGCTTTAAATACGTTAAATATGGCATCAGAGTTTCGCTCGATGCCTTTGATATTTCCCACTATAAATAATCTTGAAACTTGAACATTAAAATATGTAACGAGAAACTTATAAATCATCCTCGAGCTTTAAAGGGTAACTGCAAAGAAAAAAAAGTATTTTTAAACAGCCTAATTGTGACAAGCATGTCACAAAACAATTTTTCTAACAAAAACAAAAATTTTTACAGCAATATTTATTGCGCGGGACTGATTTTAGTTTGCGGCTATTTCGTCTGTTTTAAATCGCGCGCCACAAAGTTGGTATTATACGTCACGGAGTGACGTATTCCAGCCACTTTGCGCGCGTCGAAAGAGCGGGAGTTTCAAATGTGGAGAGGTTGTGACTCCGACTTAATTACGTCCTGTGGCGTAAATATTGCTAAAAAAATTTGTTTTTTCGCGGAAGATTTGTGTTGTGACATGCTTGTCCCAATTAGGCTGTTTAAAAAACCGCTTTTCTTTTTTTGCAGTTACCCTTTAATTTATACCTCATTGGATTCCACCTACCGTAAAATACCGGGCAAGCGCCCACTCAGAGATAATCGCGAAAAAATGGGGGATGGGCGCTTGCCCGGTTATCAATTTTACATATCAATGTACTGTGCATATTTTCTCAGATCTTACAAATTTGGGTATGGGCGCTTAGTGTGGATTGGGCGGATGCACGGTATTCTACTGTAAGTTTGTCTTGACGCGCAACAGAAATCTCGGTCGCACGTCGATGCATTCTCCACAACGAGCCTCCGTCAAACCCGGGCGCCTCGGCCAGGATTGGAGGCCGTCGACCGGGGCCGGGATTTGAACCCGTCGACTGGGGCCGGGATTCGAACTCGTCGACTGGCTTTACCAAGGAGCCATCGAGGCGGCCGAACGAACCGGAGGAGGGAGAGAGACCGCCCACTCACCCTTGGCTGGGACCAGCGGCGAGCCAGAGCCCCTGGAGGGCCAGGGACGTCCCCCCAGGCGAGCCCCTCCCCTGCCGCTGCGGCCCCCCCGGTAGCTGCGGCCCCTGCGCTCCCCGCCGGGACCGGGCTCTCCCGCCCCGCTGCGGCCTGCAACAGACGGGCACGCGCACCAGAACGCACGTCACGAGCTGCCGGAGACACAAAAGGGACGATGACGCAACATACCCATTCGTGGGTTGACCCTTTGAAGGTCGTCACGTCGCTGCCGTACGTGTACGGGGCCGGTTACATCTCAAAGTTTCCGCAACAATGTGAAACCACATGAGGTGTTGCTATCTGTTATGTCATTTGCAAACTAAAAACCTTATATTTGTGTAGTGTTTCGCCTCGCCGGTGCTATTGCAGTCGTTAAGTCAGTCGCTCCGAGCGCACGATGTGCATGAAATGGTCACTTCACGTAACCTGCTCTGGCCATAATGGCAATCGGAGAGCCGCTGCTATTCCAGTTCAGACTTTTAATGCTTCTCGGCATTGAATTCAGAGGATGAGTTTACCATCCGACGGAGGTACCTCTGGTTCGGAATCTGAAATTGCCGGAACGTTGCAGAAGCAGATGTGCCAAAATAAAACCGAATGGAAGAGAAGCGACCATTTTTCACTTTTAATATTTCCATTTGAAGCAACTAACATGAACAGCTTGCAAGGAGCGTATGTGCTATCAATAAATAAAGTTTTTAAAAAAATCTACATTCATCCTTTTAACACAAAATATGTTTTACTGGCTGATTTCCATTAATTTCTGTAACGTCTGGCAGTAAGAACACCAAAGAGCGTTTTGCCCATGGGGAACCAAAAAAAGGACTTCAGTCCACCGGCAGGATTTGAAATTGCCACCTCAAGATTGTGAGCCGAGTCCTCTGCCGACCGAGCTATCCAGGGCCGGTGTTCGCATCACTCAAAAGCAGTCTTTTTGACACGGCGCACGAGGGAGTGGTCGTGCGCTATGCCCTTCCCTTCTTCACCGGAAGGCCCGTAACACCATTCTGTGCTCACCAGTCTTTGCCAGCATGATCAAGCTTGTGTAACTCCTATTATACTACATCTTTTGGAAAAAAAAAAAAAACCTGAGTGTCAGAGGGTGAAGAGAAGCGGCACAAGCCCCTCCCACAATGGTCTCCACCCCTTCCACTTTAGCAAGGCGTACGCCGGAGAGGAGAAAAGACACGAATACAGCACGAAAATGGAATGGCACAACACAGCAGAGTGCCACGACATTGTATGTGGTGCAACACAACAGTGTGGCAAAGCAGTTTGACATCATGTCACAGCATGCCACTTTAGTTACATATGTCACAGTAGTGTGACGACATTCATACCGAGTGTCTGGCCGACGGGTGACATTTGCAGCCCGCCACGCCAAGCTGACGACGAGAATGTGCCGTGCTATCTTATCGAGAGCTACTCACAGAGGGAACATACCCTTTCCCGATTGCCAGACTCCCAGCTGTGGTTGCTAAACTGTCGGCATCTTTTGAAAGACCGCCAAACTCTCCCAGTATCAATAGATCTACATGCGACGGCAGTGTGACAATGTGCGACTGCAATGTGAAAGCGTGCCACAGTAGTGTGACAACATACTATGGAGAAGTGACATGCTACACAGTGACAACATGCCGCAGCGACGGCAACGAGCCACTGCATGGCGACGATCGCCCACCCAAGGGCACTGTCAATTTAAGAAAGTCACCCCTCCCTCTATCAGAAACAACTCGAGAAAGCCAAAGATTCGGCCGACATCTGCAAGGTCCCCACCTGGTTTCCGTCGCTCATGCTTCACAGGTTCAATGTCCAGGGGGAGCCACTTCTGCTTGCTTCCTGCAGAACAGAGGAACACGGGGTAACTGAGCGAGCTCCCAACAGGAACAGTTTACAACTCTAACCGCCTACAGCTGGCGCCACCGGTCTTCGAAATGGTGGACATGGTGAGAGCCGGAGATGCGTCGGGACGCACCGGTTGCTAGGCCCAATTGACACGGGCCGAGCAAATTATTTATTTCGGTTATCCGAAAATACTACTACCCCAATACAGCAGTATAGTAGGAGAGCGTTACACACAATAAAATATAACTTTTACAAATAAGTGAAATAACGGGGTTGCTAAATTGCTAAGAGTCAGCCACCTGACACAGGAAGCTGTCAAGAGAATCAAGATTAGCAACACTGGGAGGTACGCTGTTCCAATCCGATAAAGTTTGAGGAGAAAAAAATCAATTTCAAAGGCGACTGATGCAAAGCCACATGTCGTTTATGTTTGATGAATACCAAATTCGGCAGATACTGGTCTGTTCCCAGCCGCATAGTTCTAGTGTTCCTGCTGCTATGAGGCGGCTGGGGTCGCAGGGGCAGGGCAGTTCTTTCCGTGCAAGGAAACATCGGCGACCGACCACGACGCTGGCGCGTTAATCGTCTTTTCCCCCCGCAAAAGGCGGATAGAACCCTAGAACGCCGTTTTCATGGTAGCTTTTCGCGACGGTTACAAAAGTCTTTATGCAGGGGCAGAATAGCGGACAGACAAAGGCAAAAACGGACGCCGACGCGCAGCTTTTGCGGCCGCGTCTCACGGCATTGGAGACGACGATAGATGGCAGTGAAATGGCAGGCGAAGCCGGAGGCCGTTGCTCGTCTACTCACCAACTAGCAGGCGCGTTAGACTTCCGGACTAGACGCACCGGATGACGCGAAAGAGAGACAGTACGTTCGTTAGCCTGTCCAGTCAAGCAGCCAAGCAAGACCAGTAGTGATGGGCGGGGCCACCAGTTTGTGGGGGGGGGGGTTAGAGCGGGCTGTGACCTCAACCAAAATTGTGTCTAACAAGGCAAATATTGAGCAAATTGTTTTTTTTATTAGATTTTTTTTTTTGCGAGATAATTGTTTTAAACATTTTGTGTTTTATTTATGCCCTCTAAAAAAATCTTTTTTTCCTTGCGGTGTTTCTTTAATGATGATCAGCATTTAATTCAATAGTCTTGTAATTTCCTCACCCCTCTTGTGGGACGACCTAGGGGTGGTCCTGGCCGAGGAGTCTGTCGTGCTGCCGGGGGCGCCGTCCCGGTTCTCCTTGCACGAGTCCTCATCTTCCTCCTCCTCCTCTTCCTCGTCCTTGCTGGAGCTGCAGCCCTGCTGCTGGCCAGCGGGGCACGCTTGTGACCCGGGGCTCAATGCCTCCTGCAGGGGGAATGTCCAGACCCGCAGCTCCATACTCTGCAGACGTTCAACCGGCGCCGCCGACAGACTCGCGAGCGACATCCGTCAGCCATTCCCAATCCGCTGCCAGCCCGGCCGTTTTTCACACTGGCCAGGCCGTTTTATGCGCCGATTCGGCCGTTTCTCGCGACAGCTGACTGAAGCCGTAAAAGAGCGGATTGGGCTCGTTCGCAAGCGTTCGCGAAGGGAGAAATGCCGACGCTGTACACCATTCGGCCCTAGATTCCGACCTGCCCGCAACTGCGGTCGGCAACAGGTTAAGGACCTGGTAGGTGCTCTGCCTCCAGCCCTCCACCAAACTGCGGCTGCGCGTTCGACGAAGTGTCGTCGAAGGCAGAAAGCTCGAGGCGGAACGTTTACCGGGTTCTTAAACTGACGCCGACCACAGACGGAAGGTTTTGCAGTATCTGCACGACTAAATCTACGCACCATCCGTCAGAAATGGTAGCTTCTAACATTGTCGGGCTCGAGTCTGTTGCACGAGCACAAACTTCTGTGTACTGTTGCACTTCCCACATGCTCCAAATCTCCCTAGGATCGACTGGTATAGTCGTTTTTGGCGACGCTCGGCGATTTACTAATTGGAACCGCGTTCCAATTCATCGATTTTACCCTTGAAGGCCCGATGATGGCATAACCTCAGCTTATTTTCGCTAAATAAAAATATAACAAAATTTAGTTAATTATCCAACATACTGTGACTGTTAGCTTTATATATTATGTACCCCCTGGCCATGTGACTCACTTCCACAGGCAGCATTAGGCAGCTTTCATAGCTTTTCAGAGTGCAGCTCTTAGGCGCCCGTTTCCGGATCGAGCGGCGACGCCGTCGCCTTAACCTCGCGTTGCATTATGGGACGTTTCCCATAATGACGTTGCATGTGACATCGTGAGGGCAAAATTTCCCCGCTAAATTTGGCGGGAAATTATTCCACTACATCTAGTGGGAAAATTTTTCCGCTAAACTCAGCGGGAAAATTTTCTAGCTACACTTAGTTAAAACATTTTACCCTTGTGACGTCCCACGGGACGTCCTGTGACATCACACAGGGCGCCGCTCAACCTGGGGAAATTTTTCCGCTGAATTTAGAAGGGAAATTTTTTTGCTAAATTTAGTAAAAAAAATTCCCAATGAATTTAGCAAAAAAGAATTTTCCGCTAAATTTAGCGGCCCATTTTTACCCCCGTGACGTCTAAAGTAACCCTCCCCTCTGTACCCTCCCCTCCTCCTCCTCCTCAAGAGCTGTGCTTTAATTTGGCATTACAGAGATTTGTAAACGTCTCATTTTTTTTAATCTGTAACACAACAACAAAAAAAACACCCTGTATATTAAATGGGTAATACCCCTTTGCCGTAGGGAAGACTGTTCGTGGAAATGCCTAATGTGCTGATAAAAGAGGTGGCAACCACAAGAGACATCTGGAACAATTCCTCCCTTATCTGATAGCTTCCCGGTTTCTTTTAGCTTGTTATCTGCCTATTTAGCAGTCTACTCTCGAGGCCTCCTTCACTACCAGCGATGCAATACTGCAGCCTTTCTCTAGGTGCCAAGATAAGTACCAAGGTATGATGCCACAGAAGTCCATTCCCATGTTTAAGGCCACTTGACTGCGCTACACTAGAGGACAATTTTATTTCATAGCTAGTAAAGAGTACAGGGTGTTTCACAAAACACGAACCAAAATTCCCCCCCCCCCCCCCTTCCCCGAAATATGTGTTGTACGGAAAAAGGTTGATCACATATTTTCCACAAACAGAGGGCCCACACATAGGGAGATGCATAGGCACATTTAAGCGGCCAATTAATTTTATTATCTAAAATTTTAGTTAGCAAAGATAAAGGTATGATTTCAATTGCAAACTTCTTAAACATTGTTAAAGTCGACAAGATGAGAGCCTTTAGAGATTTAAGGTGCTTGCGGCTCTTCAATACCTCCCAAAGACACACCAAATTTGAACAAACTGCCGTGGTTTTAGCATTTTATTGCCTGTTGGCTGGAAGATGCAGCCACTAAATGTGAAAAGACCAAGTCTTTTCCCACTGGGTCACATCTCACATTGGCCCTAAAATGTAAGCCTATTCACACACTGGGTGGCACTAAAATGTGCCACCCAGCGTTTCTTACTACCCGTTGGGCCTGGGAAGAAGCCAGTTGGAAACCAGAACCTCAGCAATGTACTATTTAAGGAAGTAATTACTTCAACATACCCAAACGCTTAATTAACTCAAACACTATGCGCCTGCCCAAGGGACTCCTCTAACAGGCGACATCAACATTTTTACTGCATGATGCAAAATATGCCAAACTCGGTAATTAAAATAAATTAATTAGCCAACTTTTTAACAATTAATTTGTGCACAAACCCTCTGATAAAAGAGTTGTAGAGTGTGTTGAAAACAACCCATTGTGTCGTGTGCATCGAAGTATCCTTTGTGTGTCTACTTTTGTTTCCAGCTTTAAAGAAAATGCACAAGATTTTAAAGGACCTACTGTGGCCACCTGCCAACGAACCGCGACATTAGTGCCATTAGTCACGTGGAATTTTCTTAAAAACTCTCGCACCGTTTCCTTGAAGTTTGTGAAACTTTTTAAGTACACGAAGGACACCTCGATGGGGAACAAAACGACTGGACGTTTGTCAACGCTCCCTAAACCTCTCGTAATGGAAGGTTTGTGCACAAATCGATGCGTAGAAAGCAATCTGATTAATCCGCACTAACTAGTCAGCTTGGCCCGTCACGAGAAACACCTCGACTCCCCCAATTAGCCCCAAGAACATGGCGTGGCGTCACCTGACGGGCCTATCGTCGTGACGTAGGATGGGGGATCACGTGACTGTTTCCTGTACTCTGCGTCAAGAGTGAAGTGTCTCAATCCTCTCTTTCCTTAATTCTACAAGTGTTTAAGGCTTCTTTTAACCCAATTTTTCGTTTCACTGCTCGACCCCACCAAGTTCCTAAGTCGGCTACCGTACAAATGCCTCTGGGGAGCCGGTTGCAGGCAAGCAGGGAACCGCTAGCTGCAACCAACTTGTTGTCGTTTTCGGCGGCTGTCTCGCGCTCCGCGATAAATGCTGACGAAGTGCGACCTAACGTTAAAGGTAAGCAAATTTCTTTAACTTCTCTTTGACCGGGCACCCTGTTACAACTGTGTATCCTTTTTCAGTTGTGCTGCCTGTAAGCAGCATCAATGCGTTCGTGGACAAGGCCCACGAAACATCCCAGCTGTTGCTCGAGGGCGAAAGAGTTCTTGAAGCGGGACATGTGTTCTCCTGCAGCATCAAGAAGCTGGATAAGGATTGCTACATGTTCATTGGATTCGTCCTCCAAACGTCGGCACTCACTTCGGACCTGCACAAGCTGAAGATAACACTGAATGGATGAATCATGCAGTGCCCGGATGATCGCTCTCTACATAAACTTTCCGTGCCTGTTGCTTTCGAGCAAAATGAGAGATAACAACTATCTCTGACGTGTGTGCGAAAAAAAGCACCCCCCCCCCCCACACACACACAAACTTTTGTGGAAGTTCACTAAAATAACTTCTGAGCGTTTACCGAATATCTTCACTCCAACCGCATACATGAAGCTTCATCTCGAAAGTGTTTGCTACACACTGTTGATCTCTTGGGGTTTAATTTGCCCATTGTCAATTTCACAAGCCACTCCGTGCGCAGCTGCTTCTCCTCGAGGTAGATGTGGAAGCTGATGTTTGGGTCGGTCGTGTAACTGCGGCATTACGGCACCAAACAGTACTTTACCATTACTTCCTGAGCTTGACAGCTGTCGAAGCCGATCTATGCATGTATGACTTCAAACTCACAAGAAAAAAAAAGGGAAAGTACCAAGCGAACGGTTTCCGAAGACCCCGACAGAAGCAAGGCGGAATAGCTGGCCTTATCACGTGATCTCCCTCCTACGTCAGGGTCGAGCGATCGCAGACATCCAATAGGTCCCGCTCAGGGCCAATAGGTCCACGAACAACACTCCGTGGGTTCGACGTGCAGACCACGCACCAGCTTTTTTCTAAACTCTCGGCGCAAGTTATGTGAAACACCCTGTACAATCATTCTGCCTAAAACTATACCCAGGCACTCACCGGTGGAGAGGCAGCAGAGTTATGTTGCACCAGGTGGCTGCTCGAGGGAGCGTGGCCCTCCACCGTCGCCGTCTTCGCAGCCTGCAAGACACCACCACCCCCGCTGTAACACCCGCTGCCGGCACCAAGCACCCCAATGGCATAACACCACCCACTCTACGTCGCACTGCCGCTATCCCTCTCCGTCGCAAAGTCGTCTCACGGAACTGAAGCGTGATTTCAGCTATTGACTCGATGGTAAGGCAAGATCTAGACGGCACACACGACTGAGCGAGCGTTTTAACTTCCGAGCGTGCAACGAAGCAGCGGCGTCACAGTCTGGCCCAGACATCCAGTGTAGCAGCCAACCCTAGTTTATACGGTGCAAACTTGAAAATTCCGTCGTTATAACCGATTATCTTTGTATTGGGACTAGAAACTGAGCGGTATGAGCGGGACATCGTTATATGGGATATCGTCATAAGTGGATTGCACCGTAATTAATGTCAGCTCACCCGAGCGCAACGGTATACAAAACGCTTGGGGGCACGGTCGGCGCTAACATTTTTTATGCAGGACCCAGAAATCGAGAACGCCGATCCCCTTCGTGTGTCGCCAGCGAGCGAGGAGCGATCCGATACTGAGAGAAACGAAAATTACTCATTGTGTGGATTTTATTGATTACTGGCACCGGCAAACGTCGCCCCATAGCAATTTCAGAACCGCCGAACACACGGACGCTTCGCGGGGGAGCCTTCCTGCGCAGATAAACAAAAACCAAGGCCGCACACTGCCCCCGCGTTGCCGCTCGCTCCCCGCTGCGGGACTGGGACGGGACTGGGACGCGCAATCGGACCCGAGCTCCGAGCAACTCGTGCGGGTCGAACAACCGAAAACAAATCCCGACCAGCCCTGGATGTGGCTAGGTTTAGAACGTCAAGGTGCCAAATCTTTAGTCCGAAGCTAGGTCGAGAAACGGGGCCACGGGAAGCTGCCGAAGCCGCGGACATGTTGCGGGCACATTAGGAAAGGACGGAGCGGTCGGCGCTTCAACGTGGTCGCCGGTGGCGCAGCCTGCCGGCTGCCGAGGCGGAGCGGCATGGCCCCAATAGGTGTCGCACGCTCCGAATAGTTGTTTCCTTTTCGTGCAGACAACAGCTTGTACTCGAGGAAGTAGAGGGGACGGCAACTAAAAAATATGGCGCTATGAATTTTTTATGTGGAGCAAGTAGGATCTCTTTATACAGCCAGCACAGTACTGAATGACCGAGCTGCCCCAACTATGCTACGACTTAACTATGCTAAGTGGCTATCTTTAAAAGGACTCTGATGAAGAGCTCAAGCCTGCCCGGACACTTGCAAAAACACAACCTACGAGAGAGCAACTGTTGAGCTAAATACTTCCGGCTCACAAAGCAATCTTGGTCTGGCAAGCAAACTTCGGGCCCAGAATCGGCCGCTTAGGGCAGCCTCCGTTCCGTTTCCCTCGGTCACACGCAATGACAATACAGAATTTCACATTTTTTATAAACTAACCCCTAAAAAAAAAATACACTAATTACACTTTGAGGCACATTTTTCGTATCATGTGATTCTAAAACACGTTGCTATTTCGAGACGTTGACCCCGAATTAAAAGCACGTTAAAAATTTTCTCAGACTCAATGTCTCACAACGTAAATAATACGCTAAAATTATTAATACATATATTTTCTTTTTTTTCTAGAGAAAGTTTATTTTAGAATCAAAATTAAATGTTGGGCTAGTTGGCTACACATAGTATAAAAATTCAAAAGCGCAAACACCAAGGAAAAGAAGAGGGGACAGGACAGAGCGCTTACTCCAACCGGAAGTTTAATGCATTCCCCGAGGACGATATAAAAGAATTAGCCATGTGAAGTTAAAAAAGAAGAAGAAAAACTATCGTTATAGTTTATAGATGCATTAAAAAATTTTAAACTAAATCGGACCTCACCCCTTGACACTAGCGAAAAAAATGTAATAAAAATCCAGAAGTATAAACAAAATCAGCAGGTCAAAGATAAAGTTAGAAACCATTAAAGCGACCCGCGTTAAGAAAAAAGTTAGAGGTATCTCATCTCTTTCTCAGACAGCGCTATCGATGGTGTGCTTATGCAAGCTCCCCCGAGAGACAATATGGTTTACGCTTCATAAAGTTCTCTGGATCTTTTTTTATGGTAATGCTTGAGGATCTTAGTCTGTTGGAATATGGGTGTGCAGTGGCAGTCGCGGACATGTATGGCGAGATGTCCCGATGGTGATGATTTTAGAGAAAGGTGATGCTCTCGAAGTCTCACGATCACACAGCGTCCAGATTGTCCGACGTAGACTTTCCCACATGTGAATGGAATTTCGTACACTACGTTGATGTTGCAGACGACGTACTTGTGCGTATGCTTGAAGGTGCATTTGTTGTTATTTTCGTTTTGCGAATTAATCTTAGGACGCAATTTTTTGAGTTTGTTTGGAGCTGATAGTACCACTGGTACTTCATACTTTGAGGCTATCCGTCTGAAGTTGTGGGATACGCTGTGGAAGTAGGATATCACTGCCAGCCGCGTTTTCTTCTCGCAATTTCGTTTTCCTCTTCCCTTGGGAGTTGTCAGACATTCTGCGACATCAAACAGTAATGAATTGGTGTATCCAGAATCCTGCAGCCTTTGCACTTGTGCTTCGAAACTACACTTAGCCGTGCGTTCACAGGACTTGTGCAGGGCCGCTTTAAAGCAACTCAGCACTATTCCTCTTTTGATGATCTTAGAGTGGGCAGAATCAAAAGGTAGGAGTCTTTGTTTTGGACCGTGGTGCGTAAGTCCAACAAGTGTGTGATTCTTCAAAGGACAGTTGTAGATCCAAAAATTGAAGCTTGCTATTAGTAGGTAACTCATGTGTGAATTTGAGTCCTTGAGCTTGTTTCATGGAAGTGCTGCTTATGTTGTTAATTTTAGAACTTTCCTGTTCCGTTCAGTTGCCTGGTGAACATCTTGATCGATAAGAATAACACAACCGGTAAAATGCAATTTTCACGAACCCCGAAACAACATGAATATACAAATTAAGGGAGAGCGAAAGAAGAAGATGGTTACAGAGAGTGAAACAACTTGCGACCATGTGGGCTGTTCTCACGACTTTGTTTTTCTCCACACTACTGGAACTCGGCGGCAGAAGCTAAAGCAAACAGACTCTATAGTCGCCGGCGAGGTGGGTACAACAGGGAGGAGCCATGAACGACAACGCCCAGCCAAAGCATGGCGGAAGGCATGAGGGACGCCTGCTGCCGTTTTCACTTTGTCAGACTCTACAGAACAAGTTGTACCGTTGCACACAAAGAAAAAACAAATTTTTTTGGAGGGGGGCGTTTGACACATGGTTGTATTATTTCATTGTTTATTGCTTTGCTTGTACTGATAGCTTGGTCATGTTTACAACGACAGAAACTTAATCTGTTTCCTGCTCGAGACGCAAGCTGTTGTTGTGCAGCGTCGGGGAACGACGCTGATCACGAGTGCGGCTCGCAATTGTTGCGAAAATAAAGCGGCGGTGACAAGAGGTAGCGACACAAACTTCGTTTGGGAGCCTTCAATGAAGTTGGGATTTGGGCGGCCTTTCGTAACCTCCACTCTCCCACGTTCGCGTTATGCAGTGGTGGTCCAGCTATTTTAGGTTTTGGAGCAATTTTTGGAGCAAGAAAAGCCCAATTTTGGAGCAATTCGTAGCACATAAACTCCCCTTTTGGAGCAGGGAAAAGTTCGTTTTGGAGCACCTTGGTATCAGGAAAACTAAACATTTTGGAGCAGCATGAATATAGAGCAGTTCTGTGCCATGTCTTTATTATTATATATATATATTACGGCTGCCATTGTCAATCTTACCTCACCCCCCATATATATATATATGTCTGTGTGTGTCACGAACATCTGAATTTCATATAGTAATTTACAAAGAAAAGAACTCACCATAAGAAAACTATTTTATTTATGACAGAACATTCTTGCAGCTAAAGCTTAACTATGTAACAAAATATCACAGATGAAAACTAAAATATTGCTTAATACTTCCTGCCTTTTGACTGTAGGCTATATATCACAGGTGAAAAAAAAATATTGACTCAATGCTTTTTGCATTTCTTTTTCAGTTCGTCCAGCTCGCAAAGAGTGCGCGACAAAGCAGCATTGGCTTCAGCTAAAATAGTTTGGCCACCTTCTACTTTTTCCAAGCTTTGGCACTTCAGTCCTGCACCAATGGTCTCTTCCGCCCTCTTCAGCAACGCAGGGCACGAGATCACCCTTTCCTCCAACTGCTTCTTTAAGCGCTTGTCATGCGAGTTGTCAGCATCAACTTGTGCGCTGTCAGGCTTTTTTCTCTTCACGTCGGCCTCTCTACTTCCAATTCTTTCCTCATACCGGGCTCTTGCTCTTTTGACGCTTCGCAGAAGGTCTGGTGACAGGGGCACCTTTGTGGCATCTCCATCATACCTCTGCAGGTAGGTCTTCACTTGCCGCAACCTGTTTTTCTTGATCGAGATAAATATACTCAAGGCGTCCGAGAATCCGAAACTATAGCGATTTATTAAACATGTTTGTAAGCTCTATTATGAGTTCGCATGCAGTGCGGCAGTATGACAACCAAGGGGTGACCAATCGTTTACGGCATTTGACATGAAAAGGAACACGCAACAATTCGCAACAAGGAAATCAAGCAACGACCACGCGATCGAAAAGAGTACCACGTTCGGTACTGATGCCGCTGGTCTGCCGGTGAACGAGCGTCCGAGCAAATTTCTACTATGGGGTCTGTAACTTAAAACGCGCATGCAGAAAAAAAAAAGTACTCACGTTGGCTCATCTTCAAGAGGACTTAGTAGTGGCGATGCAGAAATGAACAGCCACAACGCCGCATATCAAAACGGTCGCAACAAAACAATAATGCGCAATAATGCCACTGGGCCGGAAACCTGAATTGGATTGTGATGGCTATGGTAACGGCTCTACCCTTTATATCGGGCGGCAGCTTGCGCCACCTAGCCTAGAAAATAAAACTCCCACCGGGTTGCCAGTCGAAAACGCCATTCTTCCAAAAAAGGATTCGCTCACGGACCGACTAGCCCTTTTTGGCGCAGTTTGGCGCTATTTGTGTGTTTAGGCGCAGCAAGGCGCAGGTAAAGGAGAATTTATCACAATGGCGCAATCGGCGCAGCTGGACCGCCCCTGGTTATGTGAAAATAAACGCCTGTAGTCGCTGGTGAGCTACCACCTCTTTTTAGGGTTTGCCACTACACCCCCAACTGCCACAAGTTTATAATGCAGTGATGTGATTGGCCTAAGTCGTTTTGGAGCACCTTTCGGAGCAGCCAAAACGGTGTTTTGGAGCAGCAAAAGTGGCCTTTGGAGCAGCCAGAACAGTGTTTTGGAGCAGCAAAAGTGGTTTTTGGAGGAGATATTCTTAGAAAAATAAATATTTGTTTTAAGTGCTGGACGAACGAAAGACACTTCGCTCGCCGCAATAAACAAATTATGGTCAAGTTAGACCACCTGGGAGTCTTTCAACATGAAACTGAAATGTCAATGACATGACACATTTTGCAATGCTTCCGTTAAATTATAGATATATATGTACCGTTATAGATAAATAAGAACCAAACTGCACGTGCATATTAAAATTTATTTGAAAATGACCAGCTTATTAATAAATATCACAGCGTTAGGTTCATTACCGTAGTCATATATTATAATAAATGGAAGCTGTCTCCGACTGATGAAACACGTAACTACTGCAGTGCAATGCGAAATTGTACACAAGACAAACGTCCATTAAGACTAGCGGGTGCTTTTCTTTTTGCCTTTCGAAACTTTCTACGAGGCTGCTGCAAGCCTCGTTTTGCCTTTGGCTAGTAATGAATTCCCACTTTCAATGTCTCCAAAGAGACATTGAGACATCTCACAAGTGAACAGTGCTGTGGGCGTTGCCAAACAATTCCAAAAAACCGCTTGCCACCGTTTTACTGGTTCCCGACGTGCCAGATTTTCGTCAAAAGTAAGCAAACGTAAAACAATGGGTTGCAAGCGTCCAGGCTGGTGCTTCTGTCGTGCAGTCATGTTCGCATGCACATGAGGGCAACTCCGGCAGGCTTGCATTTGCACGTGCTTCGTCGCGCGAGCCGAGATGGCTGTTCGATCGAAAGAGACACCATGCCACTCCGCTCCGTCGCCAACTGATTCCCAAAATTGTATGCAAAATGTAATTGTCCAGCATACGACAAAAAACTGTCCACTGGCACGTGCTTGCCAGGCCGGCAGGCGATGTACAAGCTAAACACACAGAAAAAAAGAACTTGAGCGAGTCAGGTCAAAACAAGACATCGCGAGTCAGGGTCAAAAAGTACTTGGAGCGCTTTGTACAACGACTGAAGCACTGAAGCGTCAACACACGCACGCGTCTATCGTTAATTTTTTTTTTTTTTTTTTAACGGCGCGAGACGAGACACATGAACGACGAGAGCGTGAAACGAGAGGTGGCGGGAAAAACTATGCAAGACCGGATGGACGATTGATACAGAGTACTTTTTGCTGGGCGGCCGCTTGCGCTACCTAGCTCATGCATACTCAATTACGGTACTCAGTTTAGTTTCGGTTTTGAAAGACGATAAATATTTGTCTTCTGGCGCAGGCTTGGCGCAGATCACCCATATTTTGGCAAAATGTAGCAGGATGTAGCAGGGTGAGCTTCTTGGCGCAGTTTGGCGCAATTGGCGCAGCAATCACATCACTGATAATGTCTATACTCAGACACCCCCCTCCCCCCCAAAAAAAAGTTCCGTGCATAGTTCATAGCTTGTGCAAAGTAGATTCTTAAGAGATTTGGTCATCAGAACTAAAAAATAACTAATTACCTATGCCTTTTGTGTTTCAGACATTCAGGTCTTGGTTAAATAACAAAGAAATAAATCTTAAACGCTCATAAAGGAATCTTGATTCACAGCCTAAAAGGGGGAAATTAGTAATACTCCACGAAAAATCAGACACTTTTAACAGCGGGTCCTCAGGCAAAATTAGTATAGATAACAAACTCTAGCACCTGACACAACAAAAAATATTTTTGTCAATCACATACTAATGTGCATCGCTTATATGACACTCAGTGAACTGCATACCTCCTCAACCAAACAAATGGGTCATGAACAGAAATTTCCGACTAGTCCAGCCTTCTCTTACCACTCCTCGTCCTTTTTGTAAAAAAAAATTTTATATATATATATTTTAAAAAAACTAGAAAAAGTTGGTGTTTTTCTAGGAGAATATTCAGGAAAAAATCTCCTGGGGAAGTATTCTGTTTTTCTAGGGAAACCCTAAGAAGGAATTTATCCCAAGGAAGAATGTTGTTTGTCTAGGGAAATGCGAAGAAATTTCTCCCTAGGGAAGAATGCTGCTACTAAGAATATCTCTAATGCAACTTTTGCTCTAGGGAAGATAATGTTTCTCTAGGGAAACCTCAGGAGAAGAGAATTTTTTTTCCCTATGAACATTTAAGGTTTTTTTGTTTTTTTTGTGTTAGCTCAAAACCAAGCAAGGGGTAAATGCCCCCCAGTGTCGGTGAGAGACAGCAAGCAGCCACCCTCCCAGTAAGCCGCATTCTTCTTGCAGAAGATTACATACGATGCCAACATTCCTCTTTCGCAATAACACAGTCTATCTCTATCGGCCCCAGAAAGAATGTTTGGAATGGCACTCACCTGTGAACCAGTAGTGTGCACCTCCCCCAGGGTGGGCCAGTCATTCACGTCCGACTGGCCCTGCTGGAGACAGAGAAGGTGTGAGGTGAGCAAATCGTTTTCAAGCACTTTAATCCACTTTTTGAAACAGGTTTTGAAGTGGTAGAGTGAGATTATCTTACCAAGGACATTTTATGACATCATGATCTGCTAAGACTCCCTCGTAACTGCGAGCTATTCTCCCAAAGCTGAAGTGGGCGGGTTAGTAGAAATCAATTAGCCGTTTTTCGAGTCCTGACATAATAAAAAAAAAAAACTGTGCGGGTCAAATCCTATCTATTCTGTAAATACATACAACATGACACGACAACTCACGTCACATTGGGAAACTAACAATTGCTTGTGTAGTAGTTTTTCTCACGTATCCCAAACAACAGAGATCAAGTGATCACATTAAACAGTGTTTGAGTGGCAGTAATTGAACTTCTCACCAAATACTTTTTCCTATAACCTATACAAACTGCGCCGAAGTCAAACGTGCCACGCATCGTGCTACATACTAAATGTTCTGCATGTCGGCCTTCTGTTACAGGAATGCGTTACAGGAAACTGCTAGGAGCCAGCCATACACCACGCACATTCCGCACGGAAAAAGGCACCGTTTGCTCCAGCCGCGCAGGTGGGTCTGGAACCGGGCGCTTCCAGACGCTTCCTAGGGTGGTTTTATTCATACCAATGAATTTTTGTGCAACCCTCTTCCGTTACGGGCGAGTATTACGGGAGTTTGCTACAGGAAGAGCTTTACAGGAAACGGCAAAGGGCCAAACACATTCTGCGTTAAAAAAGGAACCGTTCGCTCCAGACACGCTGGCGGGTTCAAGGCCAGGTACTTCCATGCTTTTTATGTTCAACAGTCTCCCCCGTTGCAAGAGTGAATTGCGGGAAGTGCGTTACAGGAAACTCCAATGAGCCAAACTTCTACTTTTTAACGTAGAGCACACGCAGAGCGTGTGCTCTGCGTTAAAAAAGAAGGCACAGCTCGCTCCGGCTGTGCTGGCAGGCTCAGAATGTTGCATACTTCCTGATGTACTTTTTTCATATTGGTGAATTTTCATACACCACTTTCCCGTTATGAGAGCGTGCTACAGGAAGTGCACTACAGGAAACTTTAAGAAGCAAAAACACACATTGCATAAAAGTTTTTTTTTTTTTTAAAAAGGCACTGTTTGCTTTGGTTGTGTTGGCTTTTTTTGTATTTCCGAACCTCGGACTCTGCCCTTTTCAGACACTGCATTTGCTGCACCTGTACGCTGGACCTCAATTTCAGTCTACGTCTTTTAAAGAAAAAAGAAAAGGAAGTGGTATTTCCCCGTGATGAGAAGAGACACAGCTGTCCCCTCCCAGCCCCTTGCGCCCACGGCGGCGGCGGCAAGCGGAGCTAGAAATCGCTTTCTACTAAGCCGCAGATAAAGAGCCCACCCCGGTACTGATGACTAACCACACAGATAGTGTGTGTGTAAAGAGGCAGACATGTGCGCATGTGGTCTTACCTTTGTGTGTGGTCACACAAAGATAAAAAACCCCGTGAGTGACGGTGTCACCACTTTCCACTGCATGTGATAGATGGGTCCCCCCTTTCGAGCTATCGAGACTCTCTCGCTTCGATAGTTCCCCGTTGAGAGCGACAGTGCACAGCAAAGCCCCTATAATCGGCGCTTTGTGTTTTCGGTATACAGGGATAACCAAGTAACCCCCCACGGTCGGTTTTATACAAAATAGGGAAAACCAAAAAAATTACAAAAAGAAAAAAATTATATGCATTTTTTTTTTTTTTTTCATTTTTTTTTTTTTTTCACATTTTTTAGCTGTTTGGGAGACGTGCACATTCCTTGGAGTTTGGAAATCCCATGCTTGTGGCCTGTTTTCTTTAAGTTTCAATAAACACAAATTGCTTTTGTCCGACACCCAATATAGATACCAACTAAAACTCAATCAGCAAAAAAAAAAGAGAACTCCCAGAAAATAATTTTTTAATTTGAGGGAAAACAAGCTCGACAACACCTACATTGAATGTAGGTCACCTTATTTTAGGTTAAGACTCGTCAGAAGTGAGAGACTGCAGGCAAGCCGATTATCTTCTCTATGTCGGGGTTCGCAAAACACGTCACTTTTCTCCTATGAAAATAATCTGTTATTCAATGTTTGGCCGTCATAGATGAACTCACGTCACGAAACACTGTTCCGGAGAGTTAAAAAGAAATAAAGGACCAATTTCTTTTAAACAATGATCCCAAACTTTACCAGACTTCGAAAAATCAGCTGCATTTCCAGATCAACATTGTAAGGACAATTAAGGGTGGGAGGATACTTTCTACACATTCATAGATATCATCTAGCAAAACATATTTTGGTACATTCTGCTAACTGTTCCAAAAAGAATTAATTGGAAAATAGTTTTTGAAAATGTCTCCAAGGCGTTTCCTAGTTTTATTTTTCCTACAAAATACTAAATTTTTGTCTTTTTTTAATATTTGAGTGCAAACTCGGCACATTTTTGTAAGATAAGCATAAAGGTTGCATTGCGACGCGGATGCTTCAGTGTGAAAATAACGGCGCTGGTAAGAACCGCGCAAAACTTGTCAATTTCTACACCTCCAGGTTGCAAATTTTACAACTCCGTGTAAAGCCAAGCTATGTCCTTTACACATAGCTGAATGTCCCTACAGTGAATATGGCTTACGTCTTACAAATCTTTTTTACGCACAAAAAAGTTTATTCAAACCATCATTGCACAACTGACCTGGAATCACGCAAATGTTAAACGTGCCAGGCGGTTTTCCACAAAAGCACTTTGCGAGAAGAGGAGAAAGCAAAAATCCCCCCTTCCCTTTTTGTCCGTCTAACGCAACTATCCTCACCGCACTCTACTGGGTGATTCAAGAAACGGCCAGGCTCTTTAAATCGATTGCAAAATTCGGTTTCTTAACCTATCGCATTCCGATTCTGTGCAGCGTTGCCCACAGGTAATGCATTTTTTTGTGTTATCATTTGCAAAGAGCGAACTTACCTGAGGAAAACTTAAAGAAAGAAAAAGGCTTAACTTCTATGGAAGTGCAGCGAAGCCACCGGTCTTCAAACAATACGGCGCCGCTTCGCACGGGAAACAAGAGATGACGCAAGCGGTCGCGACGCCAACTGCCACCAATGAACGAGCGTTAGGCGCTGAGAGCCAGCGTCTTTAGCAGACGATCGTTTCCACTCAAAAGCAGCGCGAGCTTTTCTGATATTAGTTGCCAATGCATTATTTTGTCGTCCTTACTAATAAAACACATTGAATGAAGAAATAATCGATTAAAAAAACTGGTTTGTCGGGATATTTCGACTGTTTTTTCGGGGTACTGATGTCGTCTGCTTTGCAGTTCCTTGTTACCGTGCCTGTTTTTGTTTCTGCGACCATCACCGCCTGCAGAACGCGCGCCGCTTTTGAGTCGAAACAATTGTCTGCTAAAGACGCTGGCTCTCGGCGCTGCATGCTTGTTCGTTGGCGACAGTTGGCGTCGCGAACGCTTGTGACATCTCTTGTCTCCCGTGCGAAGCGGCGCCGCATTGTTTGAAGACCTGTGGCTTTGCTGCATTTCCATAGGAGCTAAGCCTTTTTCTTTCTTTACTTTTTCCTCATGTAAGTTCACTCTTTGCAAATTTTACCAAAAAAATGCACCATCCGTGAAAAACGCTACACAAAATCGGAACGCGATAGGTTAAGAAACCGAATTTTCTGGTCGATTTAAAGAGCCTGGCTGCTCCTTGAATCACCCAGTAGTTTGTTCAGGAAGCAAATCACATTTAAAAAGGCCAGTCAGTTATTGCGGGTGGGCGAGACACCGAGTACCCTCGGACCCTGAAACACCTCCAAAATGCAAGGCCAAGTGAGCCTTCCAAACGTCTCAGACTATACGTCGGAAATACCGGGAAGCAATTGATGAAGCCGTCGTCGCGCCCGTTTTGCCCGATGCCGTAACTCGCGCAAGAAGCAGAGAAAGTTTAATAAAAAAAAGTTGCCGGTTGCGTGCACACCAGCTGTCGAGAGTTTGCTCATAACACAAGCGTCCCGACAGCACACGCACAACTGTATGACGGCAACACTTGGAAAAGCGGGACCGGGCTTGTTTCGAATGAAAGCGCCAAGAGATCGATGGCCACCCCAGCGCAACTATTACCGGGAAAGTTACCGTCACGAAAGACTCCTCCAATCTGAGTGGCGGAAAGTGCGCAAAGAACTGTCAAACTTAATGCAACAAAAAATAGATTTTTTTTTTTTTGTTTTTTTTTTGTTTTTTTTAAATAGAGTATGTCACGGATGAACTTCATATCGACTGCATAAATCTTCTTCCCTGCAAAGCGGTCGGCAAAAGGAATACGGAGATCGGCGCACGTCCTCGGTGATAAGTTTGTGTAGGATGGACTCACTCAGCATTGCCATAAACAAAAAGAATGGTGCTCACCTCTCCACAATAATGTTCACAGATTGCACTGCTCACTCCATGTTGAGAAAAAGTATGCAAAAAGCCCTCAAAACAGTTCTCCAAAATCATAAAGAACTTAAATCGTCAGCTTGCTTTCCACATTGACCACAAATTGTTTTTTCATTGTTGTTGTTGTTTTTTGCCAAATTGTATAAGTTGCACTATTCTTCAAACCCAACACTCACAAAACAGAAAGAAAATAAAGAAAGAAGACAGCTGGGAAACTTCAAAGCATTCTTAAATTCCGGAATTTCCTCATTTCATCCCTAAAATCGTGGCCCCACAGCACTGCCAGGTGACTGTAAACCTCACTAGAACTGAAATGCTTGGAAACTAAGCTAACAAGCAGAAACCAGAAGCAAGGGCACAAGACATGGAGACGACACTAGCGCCAGTCGCATCTTCGCGTTCTTGCCCGTGCACGTCTTACGCGGTATTCGTCGTTAACAAAGCCGACGCCATCACCGACCCCACACGTTCCTCCCAACCCGCACGTTCCTTCCAACACGGTAACGTTGGGCGACCGTTTGTTCGGCCAATAACAACTGCGCACGAAACGCAGTCTTTCGGTTTGGCAGGTGTTGGCGCACGCGAACTAGCCGAGTCGGGGACCGAGGAAATGTACCCGTTGCAGACAAGAAGAGGCCTCGGAATCAAAAACCTGCGCAGTCAATTTGACCGCGCTATTTTTCTCATGACCGAGAGCACCAACAGCTGACAGCTGTTTTCAGTTTCTTTGACATGAGAAGGTGCTTGGTCTTTTATGTTTGCAACTTTGTAAGCACACAAACTTCCACCTGTTGGAGAGGCAAGGGGTGAGCAGCCCACATGACTTGCCACTCCCCTCTCGGAATTTCTGTTGCTGTCACTAAAGAGCTGTCTGCAATCCAATATAGACATTAAAAAAAAAAAAAAAAAAACAAGCCGCAGCAAAGATTTGTAGACAATAGACCCTTTTAGAAGTTCAGTGCCATCTAGTGGTTCAAGTATCAGACTGAATTTGTGTATGCTAATAGCAGTTAAAATCTAGTAGATCTTCGGCAACGGCAGACGTGCGAAACTTAAGGTGTCCCTCACTGTACAGTTCATTCTCTATTTGTTTCAATTTCAATAGGGTAAAAAAAAAAAGAAAAAAAGAACTGTCCCTCGTACGAGTTGCTTACTTGAGGAAATCTTTTGACAATATCCGACACATTGTTTTGTCATGGGACGTCTGGATCATGCTGAAACCGAGCATTCCAGGGATTCATGCGACACCATGGTATCACCTCAAAAGGCAGCCATTAGCATATACAGATGACACACACCTAGTGATTATAGTTATAGAAGCGACCAGACTGAGTTTTGAAAAGGGTTAAACTTGTAGAGTTTCAGAAACTCTGCGAGTTTGTCCGAACATCTTAAAAAAGATCATCTGGATTGTGTAAAATCCTGAACCTGACAGAGAAAACCGGAAAAGTTCACGCAAATTTCAGATCAAAAGAGAGTGAGACTAACAAGACACAGAACCGGCAAACAGAGGACGTTACAGACTGACTGAAAAATTTAAACTCTATCTTGGTTAGAGTTTAAATTTTTTCAGTCAGTCTATTTATTTCCTAACCAGACAGAAAGTTTACATTCAGGAGACGTTACACACCAGTCTAGCAATCTTCTCGCGTGTGTATTGTCTGGTTACTGTGCTCCAGTTAGTGTTCCGAGCGTGCATAGCCTCAAAACATTATTCGGTGTATGTGCATCCCCCCCAGCCTAGTGCTAACCATGGGCGACAAACTACATCGGTAAGCGAGGTCCTGGGCACCGTCAAAACTGGCCGTCTATCGTGCAAACCCAAAGCAAGATTCGAAAAAAAAAAAAAAAAAAGTGTTGCAGCTAAGAACGTGGAGAATTTTCGGGGACACGCCGACGCTTTTAAAGAACTGAAGGCCCACAAAATATTGTTACTGTAACAACAGTGGTGCTCTAAACAATACATTATCATACGGACGACGACAAGGGCTACCCTTCCGAAGCGGTGCGTCAAAGCGGACTGTGTGAGATTGGCAGCCGATTAGACCACACGGACGTGGGCACCAGATCATAGATCGACACAATCTGAGACTTCAACCTCGCGATCTCGCAGCTGCAGTGGTTGCTGGGCTCGCCCAAGCCAACGAGGGGTAAAGGATGAACGTTCACGCCCGAGCATGATCGGCTGCGTTACAATAAGAGAACACACCATCTATCGGTAGACCCATAAGCGCTTCCGACCTGGGTACAATAACGATACTAAAGGTTTTGCAGTATCTGCAAGATCGGATCTAAGCGCTCTCCGAGAAAAGGCCACCTATGACAACGTTGGGATTATCTCGAGCCCACAGAGAGGGTTCGAGGACTACCCGACAGGTGGCAACAGTCTGTTTTCTCGTGAGTAGAGGGCCTAGATTTAAGAGAGGGAGCAGCTTGAACCACGGAGATTGTCTGCACTCTATTGACGGACGCCTTTTGGGGAAATAGGTTGCAAGGGCACATGCGTTGCGTTGTCTGTAGCGAGAAGGAAAGCGGCGGAGACGCCCACGAACGATCGAACCTCTCACCGCCTCCTCGCTCCTCACAGCAGCTGGAAACAACGTGTAAGTGGCGTCGAGTCGTCATGCCGCAGTCAATCGCGCTGAAACTCGAACGTGTGAGCCGTGCTTTAGGCAGCTGACTAGCACGCATGACGAAGAAACCTTGTGGCCAACGGAGGCGGGGTTGCGTTCCGTCGAACTCGGCACTGGGGTTCGGCGGACTCACCCGTGTCGAGCTTCTCTTCTCTGACGTCGCCGGCTGCTGCCTCCTGGTGGTCGCCGCCGCTGCTGCCGTCACCGCAGCTTCTGCAAGGCACGAAAACGGACAGGTTTTCACCACCTGCTTCCAACTCTCGAGTAGACAACAGTCTGCGGACATAGACTCCACGTACCGCCACAATTCAGGCAAAGAGACAGAGAGTGTGACGGGACAAGCACTCCTGTTGTCGCGATTGACGATATTCTGCAGCGAGAGTAATGACTGGGGACGACACTTTGGCCACGAGAAAGAGCGCCCTGGTCGAAGCGCCCAATCCGTGAGGTGAGGGTGCACCAATCATTAGGCAAGCTTTGTTTTTGAGGGCGTCTACTCGCGACCCTAGAGAAACCGGTGTGTCGGTAATGGGCGACGTCACTATACCGACCCTCTCGGGAACTCGTGACCGAGTCTCTAGCAGATTTCTGTTGCAACAGGCTACACGGCCAGCAAGTCAACCAAAGCCGACAGCTCCTAAACACAAAGCCGTAGCACTGTATTTTTCACATTGTCTACCACGGGGCAGCACAGGACACAAAGTGGACACGTTTCTCGGCCAAAAGCTGGAGAAACACTTGCGTCCAATCTATACCCCATGCTGGCCTCAGGTGCACTGAAAATTCCAGCATTACGGCCTTGCTATCCTGCAGGTGCAATATTAAATTGAATTCCACCTGGAATGAAGAGCAATAACACCCTTCGGTCCGGAATGAAGAGCAATAACACCCTTCGGTCCGGAATGAAGAGCAATAACACCCTTCGGTCCGGGAATCAGTCTTGAACCTCTCCGAGACTAGCAGAGCCCTCTACCAACCGAGCTAACCAGAAACAGGCAGCCCATGAAGAAACAAAAAATAATGGCTGCCACCAATCAATCACATCTAGCCATTTACATCTGACCTCACCTATGCGGTGGCTATGATCGAGACTGGTGGCAACTGTTAACATCTGTTTGCTCTATTGACTGCCAGCTCCTGGCTAGCTCAACTGGTCGAGCAATCCTCTAGTCTTGGAGACGTCCCCAGATCGAATCCCGGACCAGGCGGATTTTTTCGGTGGCCACCAGTCGCATAGAGGGCGCAAGTTCTACTCTATTTCGGGTGAAAGTCAGTTTATATTCGAATAAATCTTCTCCACCTTGGGGATTTCCACTAAAACCATTATGTCTAATCCAGGAGGAGTTGCCAAAGCGTGCCTCTCCACTTATGAGCGAGGAGAGAGAATTTCGTCGCCCGCATGGCAAGCCCCACCCCAGCAGAGGGCACCTTCCTCACAGGGTAAACGACCTATCCTAGGTTGCAGTTCAGAAGGCCCAATACATAATACGTAAGCTCCCCATACATACCTTCGTGTCAAACGAACAAATGCACCTTTCAAACTATTTCGACTCCCCTTTCTCGCAGACCCGAATCCTCAATTGCAAAGAGCCGACAGATTTCTGACAGCAACAAAAAGGCGAGGCAGTCGTTACAACGACTAGCGGAAGACGCCGAACCCCAATTGGAGCTCGGCACCATGACGTCACTGGAGGACCCCGATGAAAGGAACAGACGAAGTCGCTCGTGTAGTCGCGGCCAGGACTAGAACAGTTGTAAAGTCTTTCGGTTGACCCACCTACGGCATCAGCTTCCCACCTTCAAGAATGCTTTGGCATCCCACGACTTTCTAGGGTGCGTGCGCAGCCAAGTATGACGGAAGGCGACAGGCGCATGCTGGAGGGCCAGACAATGGAAGGAGGAGACACCCTGCCGCACTCGTCCTCTCGACGACTACAGTTAGCCGTGCTCCAAAACCAACGTGTCCCAGCCCACACACTACTGCCAATACCGAACAGGAAGTTAATGGTTGCAGCAACAGACACGGCAAATGCAGGTGCCATGCGTCAAGTTACTTTCCGCAACAAAATCTCGGAAACTGTTTTTTTATTTTTTTATTGCAAATGAAAATGCGCGGAGAGCATCCCAAATGGTTTTGCAGCAACGACGCCTCCCTCAGCACGAAGACAAGGTCGAGCCTTTGCAGAAAATGTTTAGGGAACGGGAAGCGCATGATAAAAGGGAGTCCTAGCGAAATAATAAAAAAAAGACGGTGATAGCAGGGTCAAACTCTTTTACCTTCCTTTCTTTACACCGTAATCATTCCGTAGCTTTTCTCGCCACAAAGCACCAAAACGTCAATGTCAACTCTAATGCCCAAGTACCACTAGGGCGACAAGCACACAAAAACAGCAGACACCGACGAGCCTCCAAAACATGCAGCACGTTCGCGACGGTACCTTTGGCGGGCATTTAGTCTTAGGCGATCGTGAAAGATACCCTCGCGTGCACGATGCACATGTTTGAACATAGCCTCCTTTACTCTACAAAGCCTGCTGAACCACAAAAGAATCTGGTTTGAGGCTTGTCTGGGTGGTGTTGGTTGTTTCTTGTTTGTCACTCTAGTGGGACTCGGGCATAACCGTCCGTCTAAAATGCGAGAGTCCAGTCAGTGTCCACTACGGTCGCCGACAACTTAAGAAACGCACGGCGTGGCGAGTCCCGAGCACCTTATCGTCCCTGGCTATGTCACTGCAGCATTAGCCAATAAGAATGCAGAAAAAAGAATACCAGGGAAAGCATAACAGGCTACACCCTGCATTTCTTAAGCTGACAGTTGCTACAGCTACTGTAAGCACTCTAACAGTTGTTTTTATTAGAACCAAAATTTTAATAAAATAATCCTTAAAAAAAACTTTTTTTTTTTTTTTTGAAAAGTGGAGGGAGGTTTTTTTTTTATACTTACCGTAATATCCCGACAGATGCCTGCCTGCCTGCCCCCTGCCCCAGCCTGCCTGCCTGCCTGCCCCTGCCCCTGCCCCTGCCCTGCCCCCCCCCGTTCCCAAATTTATTTCAAACACCGAAAGTTAGCCCATCCCTTGACAAATGCTCGGCATAAATGTGGCTAGTTAGCTGTGGCGGGATATAGTCAAACGTTGCTGACTGGGAAGTAGTCGTCTTGGCATTGCTGCCCCTCTCCACGATAATGAGTTTGGCAGAAACGCATTACCTTCAAATAGCATTTTTCTTTTTTACAGTTTTTCTTGACTGCGTTTTGGAAGTTAGCCCAAGCCTTATTTTCACCCGATTTACTCTCGATTTTCGGTGGGCTACTCTCCGGATGTTACAATAGCTTATCCCTATTTTCAGTTAAGCCCAAACTCCAAAACATTCTCGACGACAGGCAGCTCACTTACATGATCACTGCTGCACCAGGAATGTGCATGCGACAAACAGTAACAAGCGAAGTTGGGGCGGTGTTAAGGCCGATTCACACACTTGCATCGTGTCCGACCATGTGCAAAAGTTGCCATGGCAACGGCTGCTCAGCCGTTGCCACAGCAGCCCTTGTGCTTGGTCAGACTCAACACGAGTGTGTGAATCGCCTTTTATAGCCGGTGACAGGCAAAGAACGGGCCCCCAACGCAACCTTTCTTCCTTCGATAAAACCTTGGCGCCTCTTGAGTACCCACGATCAAATCACGTCGGAAGGCTTCGAGCATGCGCTGAAGGCCGTGCTTCTGCTGTAGCTTTTCTCTAGCAGCAGAGCCCAAACCTGGGCAATATGACCAATAGCAACCAATCTGGGGAAGAACAGAACTTGTAAGGTGTGCAAAATATATCCAAAAAAGTGTTGAACCGCAGCAGACAGGCACTGTTTAAGATCCAGGAACAAAGAGCTGGCTGCAACCTACTCCCACCTCTCCCCAGCTCGCAGAATCCGGGCCAACAGACGTCTCTTCGCCGACAATCCGAGAAAGATAATTTGTCCGCAGCATCGGTTCGCCGGACCCATCATGTCGATTTTCCTTTCGATCTTGGCAGCCCACTTGCGAGAAATCTGTGCTCGCAAGCTTTCACGGCGGTCGCCAGAAAAAAGTACAAACTTTTTGTCCCTTCATTAAAGCAGATATATATCTGAAAAATATCAGATAACCAGAATTTCTTATCTAACAAGCTGTTATCACTATGTGCCAGAACAAAAATTTAAAAAAAATAAAACGTTCAGCCTTTCCACTCTTGTGAAGAAGGAAAACCAGCCAAGCTGTATTGATACACTGTGTGCTTCTTCTTTGTCGTCGTCTGTTTTTCGCGCTGTTTCCTACGATGAATTCCCACCAACGCGCCCAACTATTCATTCTTCTATTATAGCTGGAAAGGTTGGCGCGATCTATGAGCGACGGCGGAAACCATACTGATTGTGCGCTTGCTGCCGTCGCTTATAGATGGCAGTAGCTGTCCAGGTAGGTTTCTGTCGACATACCGGACACGATCCTGGGGAACCTAGCCCTTAACAACTCCGCTGTAAAAAATAGCGCACTTACAATCGAGTCCGATAGATACACAGCAAGGGTCTTAGACACACAGCCCACAAGCGCCAGGCGGCTGCGAGACCCCGTTCCCATGTCTCAGGCGCCACAAATGGTGTGTGCCACGATGATCTCATGTCGCCTATTACTTTACGCTTGTAGCGTGTTCACATCTCATTTGCCTCGTGTTTCGTTTTAATTTTTGCTCCCCAGCTTTACGTCATGTTGTTCACCTCTATGACAACTCCCTGACTATGGGCCGTGAGCGCGAGCTCCTCGCTCAAGGGCGAACGTCGGCTGCACGAACTCGCTCGCACGGCAAGAAAAACTGCCAAAGGTAAGGATACGGGCTCAGGATTCTGGCCTCAGAAAATATCACTATTGAAATATAAGCAAGTCTCTTAGTCTGCTGCTATTAAAATTGTTAGAAAAGCAAAAAGTGTTGCATGAGGAGCTTCTTTTTTTTAGACATGTTGAGTTTAATTAAATGAGTAGTGAATTGAGCGACGCTAACAACAGTGCGCTTTCTCTCTTGTTCTACTAAAAAAATGTTATCAGATTGGCAGGGTGGTGTCAGTTTAATTCTTGTCATCGCATCAAGTAGGGTGACCAGACTTCCTGTTTTAGGCGGGACAGTCCCGTTTTAGAGGTTCATTTATGTCGTCCTGTCGCTTTGCCTCAAAATCCCCTCACGTCCCGTTTTTG